CTACTTTTACTTTTTTTGTCTGTTCATTGTTTTGTTTTTCTTTGTATTATTAGTTTTAAGTTCATAAACCCTGGATAAATTATCCCTTCTTATTGCATTAGTCTCGGGAGCAAGGATGTACGTAACTTTAACTGATGTATACCCACATTTTATGTCTCATTTCATGGGAGTTTATAGCTCTCATATAAACTAGTATAAAGCCAATCGGTGAAGATCTTCAAATTTTTGTAAATTATTTTTCTTCCTTTTTAAATCTTCAAATATATACGTGCAAAGTTACAAACCTTAGCAAGCATTGGTATTAATTTACCAGCCCATTTAAAATCTTAAAAATTAAAAAAAAATCCAGATTGGGGGGTTTCCCTTAACAGACGTCACCTTTTCGAAAGAACATTGAAATGAAATTGACCGAACTCGAATATGTGATATTTATGTCTCTCTGGAACCTATGCTAAATTTCATTTCATTTGTTTAGAGTCGTTTGCATACAATGGCACAAATTTATGTAAATTGATTTAGAGCAAACTTGATACATTTTGAATAGTTCTGCATACCGAATAGGCCGAACTATTCAAAATTTAATTTCAATCAGGCACCCGTTTGAAATATATATGAAAGCTGTATCTGCATATGCACCAATTTCAACAAAAATCGGTGCACCATATACCTAAATTCCAAGGAAAATATATATGGGAGCTATATCTAAATCTCCAACATATGCACAAAGACGTAATACCCTGTACCTCAGTGTGGTGAGGGTATAAAAAGTGCCAGTACATCTGTAAAAAGGGTTAAAGTTCGCCCGGTCAGAACGTTTTATACCCTGCACTTCATATGGTTACTATAGCACCGCCTGCTAGTAGGGTTTTTATTTGGTAAAATGAAAAACCAATTTGAGATGACCCAAATCGGAAACATTCTAGAAAGGAGTTTTTTATTCATCTGAATCCGGAATGCCAAATTATAGCCACTTCAGAGTACCGAAAATGAGTGGCGTCCCACTTTATAATGGGGTTATGTCAAAAGACGGACCTACACTTCGGCAGGAAAAGGTTCTAAACCTTAAAAGGACGCAAATAGGATAGAACCTTTATAAGGGGGATATGTCCAAACATAGACTTATTTAGAAAATATCCCTCATAAATATATCCTACCCTAAGAGAACACAGAGAATGCGTCTAAAACTTTCAAAATAAAGAAGGAGTATTACTTTAATATAAGGATTATTTGCAAGCCTTCACCTTGACAGTTATGTCAAAAGACGGACCTACACTTCGGCAGGAAAAGGTTCTAAACCTTAAAAGGACGCAAATAGGATGGAACCTTTATAAGGGGGATATGTCCAAACATAGACTTATTTAGAAAATATCCCTCATAAATATATCCTACCCTAAGAGAACACAGAGAATGCGTCTAAAACTTTCAAAATAAAGAAGGAGTATTACTTTAATATAAGGACTATTTGCAAGCCTTCACCTTGACAGTTTTTGTATATATGCCATTCCGGTATTAAAACGTTTTAGTGGGAGAATTTGACACACCATTAAAATCAAAAGTTTCAAATTATAGTCAATTTGATGGAAAACATGTCCAACGTCACCAAAATTTCGTTCTCTAGGGCCTACCACGAAACATATACTTACATTTATGGTAGGGAAATTTGAACATAAGGAGAATACAAAATATCCAATTACATCAAATTCTGTTAATTTCTCTTATAAAATTTTTAGCACTTTTATTTGGCACTTTTTAAAATTTTTTAGCACTATTTTAAACCAAATCTAGCATTTTTTATCAACAAAGTTTTGGCAACACTGTTCATATTATATATCTTATTTATATATTAACATTGTTAAAAAAGAATCAATAAATATAAATTAAATTAATGTATAATTTATATAATAATAAATTAATGTATAATATATATATAATGTATAATTTATATATATAAAATTTAAAGCATACTTTAAGGAGAAACGTTTATTTCTTTATTTGCAAAAGCAGCGTTGAGATCGAGATGAGTTTAATTTTGTATTGTAAATCGAGGTAAATTCAGCTCGATTTTGCAATTTAATCGAGATAATGCACTTTATCACGATAAAAACTGTAATCTAAACGTGTCTTTAGGTTTGCCGTGTGCTTCTAGAGAAGGAAGAATGTTAGAAAAATTAATCTTTTAATTTGGTTCCTTAATCTTCCAGGAATTATGTATTGTTTATTAAGTCCTTTAGTTTTTTTAATTCACTCTTTCTTACGTCTTTTTTTTCGAAAAATTACACTCTTCCTAAGAGTTGGTTTCGAACGCTTGAAAAGAGAGTAGTACAGAAATTGTTCAAACGTTTTCCTCTCTCCTCCACACGATCTAAACAATAAATATTAAAAATAAAATGAATAATAAAAGAAAAATTGATCTGGTATGTTCCCCGGGAACATTTAAGCTCCCTGCATCAATACATTCCCCTCTATCTGGAACTTGCCTAAAAATATATAAGGAATTAGTTTCTAATTTAATGAAACTTTGCATTACTTACGAATTTTCTTCCATTTTCTGTAATTAACTTCGAATTGAACTTTGCAAATTAAAAAAATGTTTTAAATATTTTTTGTGTTTGTTCAGAAAACAGCTGATCAGAAAATGGATGAGTTGCAAAATCTTACTGAATAAAATTCTTTCAGTAAACTCCAGCAACTTTGTTGTTGTTCAACTGTTAAACTTCCTCTCTCACTTGACTCTCTTTTACTGGATTTTTGTTTAAACAGACAACATTTAGTAACATTTGGTAACAATTGTTACCAAATATCGAGTTAACAGACAGAGCTATAATATACCTAATACCTTTGTTATTCCACCAACTTTCGTTGTGTGTGTATACTTTTTTAATTATATTTTTGTTTGTTGTTGTTTTTAATAGTGCTCGCGAGCATTCGCGAACATTTGTTTTTTGAGTTTTTGAAAAGAATGTTCTTCAACAACAAATGCTCGCGAACGAACGAATCGACGACAATGCAGCGAAATTTTATCGTTCGTAAAATTTTCGTACAATGCGGACATTCGCGAGAGATTGCAAATGCTTGTTCATTCATTGTAACTTTATCATTCGCGATAAATTGAAAAACATTCGAAATCTCGCCGAGAACATTCATGAGAAAGAGTAGTTGTTTTTTATAAAAACAATAAACTGGGATTCAGCCTGATTATTTTGAAAAACAAAATACAAATGGCATCCAAAATAAACCGCTAACACTACTGAAATTGAAATTAATTAAAAAATTAAAGTAATTTAATCGTGTACTCATATATTTACTAAAGGCAAATTTTTACTTTTTCACTTCGCACCATCGAAGGACCATCATTTGTGGGCTTTGTCGACCCGTTGCTGTATGTGGTCTTTTCATTTAAGTATTCTGTATAGGATGACTACGAGATATTTTACTTTATTTCATATGTTTATCACTTTTTTTGGAAGATGGGTTCTTCATACTGGCCGAGGGACCTCGCCCAATCAAAGTCGATATTTAAGGATTCTTTACCCTCAGAAATATTACAACGTCATCTGCATAACAGACTGGTTCAAATCCCTCCAATGTTAAGGTCATTAAGAGACTATTGATAGTTGTAGTGTTGAATATCTCCCTGGGCAAGGGATTGTCCTACTTAGTTTCCACAGTTATCCATATTTCTAAAATTTGTTGCACAGTGTATTTATTTATACTAACTATAATCATGTTTTGAATTCTCACAAAAAAATATTATTATTCGGAAAAATATTTGTATTTTTCTCTTAAAAAACATATTAAATTTTAAGAGAGTATTTCGTTTTAATGATCTCTCTTATTTTCCCTTATCTCTTTTTTAGATGCCAACAGCTGATCGTTTGTTAAGTTCCTACAAAAAATATTGTATATATAATAAATGACTATACTAAGGTGGGCGAACAGATAAGACCACACCACAGTCAGTTGACATTTGACTGTCGGAGTGCAAGCAGAGCGTGATATCCAATTATCAAATTTAATCTTGTCTGCCAAAGTAAGTTCAAATATTATTTAGTTTTTTAAGTATTTTTTCATCGGAAAAAACCGCTGATAAGATTGTGTTTTGGGTTTATTTGTTAATAATGCATATTTAATTCTTTAATTATGGGAGAAAGTGTAATAAATGTTCCGTATAATGTTTGTTATTGGGGGTGATTATGACTTGAATTACAGAAAATGGTAATAAACTATTTAAGTCCAATGCATTTTGAGTGTTATGTTACTAGCTGTTTACAATTTCTGTTTCAACTGATAAGTGAAAAAATAGGTAAGAAATGATAGATTATAATCGAGTATGGCCGATTGTGTTATACTCTACCCAATTATTCAACACATAAAGTATTCAACATACATATATCATTTATCACTGGCCACTAACATGAACAGTATATGACGTGTGGGTTTCTGTTGTATTTTAGCATTAAATTGAAATTTATTTTATAAATGTTTAAATAATTCATTAAATATTTTATTTTGAAAAGTACTGTGACCATAAATAGTTTTTTGTTTATAAATTGGAAACTGGCAAATCGATAATAACTTTAAATACGAAATGGAAATTCGCGCTAGAAGCGCATCAACTGCATTGACTGATTTTTACACACTTCCCCTAGAAGATTCTGGCGCTTAATAATATTTAATAAACTTGCAATTCTTACAGCCTTTTTTCCTAGCAAGGGTATTCATTATAAAAATGGAGTGTTAATTGAACATCCTAACATAAAATTTATGAAAAAGACAAATATTTATATAAATTCAATATGAAACCAGTAAGGAAAGAAAAAGTCGGACTGGGCCGACTATAGATACCCTTCATGCACAATGTCCTTCAGATAGAATAGACATAGCATCTTTGGAGGAGCATTGAAATGGAATCGGACGAATTTAACTGCGCGAAGTACGTAGATATTTGAACTAAATTAAACCAACCCAAGCACATACCAATCTGAAATGTATGAAAAATCATGGAGCAAGATATGTATAAGATCTATATATTAATGGACGTATTCGATCAACCGTGGCATCCACCATTTGGTATGCTGCAACACAGTGTGCTATCCAGAATTTATGTCGACACAAAATCCAATACATGTTTTTCTAGGTTCGACTTGGTAAGTTGTGCAATAATTCGTCCCAAGCGGACAAACTAGTTATTTGGTACACCATTTTGATGAAATCGGATAAAAATATATATGGAAGCTATATCTAAACCTGAAACGTCTCAATGCAATATTTCATATAGTGAACAAACATAGGCAACTCCATTTGCACCATTTGCAGAAAATCGGACAAAAATATATGAGGGAGCTATATCTACATTTGAACCGATTTCCACAACAAAATATCGTGCAAATAGAACAGATTCTATGGTGCAACATTTACATAAAATGGGACTAAAGTATATATGTGAGCTATAATTAAATCTGGACACAAACAAAAAGCATTCTAGACTAAATTCCATACCGGCTAACTTTCATGAATATTGAACAAACATAGACTCCTCGGTGCGATGGATGTCAACCTGCAGTAATTTCAATACGGATGTCAACCTGTAGTAACAAACATTGACAGTATGGTACACCATTTATATGGGATATATATCTAAATCTGCACCGATTCCAAAAAAAACTTCGCATACATAAATTTGGACTTAATTCAGTACACTGTGCACAATGTTGTGCCAATCGGTCTAAATTAGACTCTTTGGTACTCCATTTACCTAAAATCGGACGAAACTATATATGGGAGCTATATCTAAATCTGAACCGATTGCAACAAAACTTCGCATACATCAATCTGAAAATAATTCGTTACTCTGTGCAAAATGTTGTCCCAATAGGACCAATATTGTGAATTATATAAAATCGGATGAAACTATTTATGGGAGCTATATCTAAATCTAAACCGATTTTCTCCAATCCACAATAGGGTTCGTCCTTGGGCCAAAAAAGTGACATGTGCCAAATTTCATGCAAATCGGATCATAAATGCGAGCTGTAATTATTCACAAAAATACATGGACAGACGGACGAACATGAATAAATCGACACAGAAAGTGATTCTATGCATATTTTCAAAAGGAACCATGGGTCTATCCCGATTCCTTTTGTCTGTTATAAACATAGGCACAAAGACATAATGGGGAGACTGGGGCACAACGATTGCCGAACTATGCTGAAATAGAAAAATCCCAACGGAAAATAGCGGAAATATCCTTTTACTTGATTTGCTGTCAAAAAATTATATTGAGGAACAAAATCGAGAATTGAATTTGCTACAAGCCGAAAGCCAGCTAGAGAAAAATATATTCAATATAAGAAACGAACGGTGGTTTCTCCGCATCAAAGAAAAATATTTGGAAAAAATGTAACCCAGAAACAATTCAAAGAATTTTGTGAAAGCATGGTATTCAAGGTAGAGTTGCTCTGAAAAGTCATTCATAAACCCCAAAAAACCGGAAATCCGATTGGATTTCGTTCTGAAATACGAAACAATATTTTGCATTTTGGAAATCTGTCGTTTTTCTGATGAAAGCGAATTTAACTTGTTTGGGTCGGATGGACCTAGCAGGGCGAAAAAAGCCGTTGACCCTAAGCACACAATTCCGACCGTAAAACTCGGCTCTGTAATGGTATGTTGCTGTATGAGCGCTGTGGGAGAATGAAATCTCTTTTTTATTGAAGGAATTATGGATAAGATTTATAATTTCAACATTCTAAAAGATATTTTGACATTTTGTGCTGAAAAATTACGATTGGGGACAACATTTAATTTTTATCAAGACAATGACACCAAACACAAGTCCAGATCGTTCGAGAAGGGATGCTTTATAATTGTTCATAACGATTCAAACACCTCCTCATTCCCCGGATTTCAATCCTATATGGAACTTATGGAGTATTTTGCAGAAAATTATTAGAAGCCATAACATCTCAGGCATATAAAGTCTTAAAAAAAATTCTTTACAAGTCCAATGGGGAAACATTCAGACATGAACGCTGTTAAAGATAAAAAGGATATCACACAATATATATTTTTTTTTGGCTGTGACTCACGACACGACTCAACTTGTCGGCTTGTCGGCTACGTGGTTGATCCATCATAAACGTCATTCTGGTTTCTTAGCCAGATACCCTAAAGCTTTCTACATTTGTTTGCGGATATTGCAAATTATTTGTGAGATGACATATCTTCTGTCAAATCGAATGAGCACTTTTTTCACGAGTCCTAGTGCATAATTTTTGTCTTATTTTCTTGCACACTAATCATAATACCACATGACGAGGCCTCCAAATATTATACAAAAATGTCCATCGTCCTTTTCCACATTTAACCGATCCATGCTCAGAAAAATCTTATATCGACGAGCAATAATTAGTTATATATACGTTCATGTACTATAAAAACATTTCACCAATTGAAAGATATTCTTCAAGATCCAGAATGGACGTTCCTGCTGAATACTGCACCTAATGTTATTCAATGTATCAGTGCTGCGGTGTAGAGCTTAGTGGTTAAACATATAGCAAAACTTGGGATGTGTGTGAAAATAGTATTTAACTAATTACAATCACAAAAAAAATTATATGTGGGAAGAAATTATGCGCTGGAAAGGACATTGAAAGGGTTTTGTGAAAATGTATCGGGTATGGCCCTATATATATTAAAACCAGTGAGCGGGGCAGTATGGACGGACGGGGCCGACCATACGATACCCTACACAAATTTTACGAAAATATAACTCTTGACCGCCTAGAGGTCAACAAATATTACTAATATTCAGTACAGCCCTTCTAATTACTTGTCCAAATTCCTTTCACCGTGGGCTGTGTTGTGATGTTCGGTTTTCAATTGTAGCCTATAGATCGACTCGAAATGCGATCAGCCCTATATTTCCGACCTCTAGTGTGGTAATGGGCTACTAAATAACATATGAATACGTAAGCACCTGTAAATATTTTAGTGTAACTCCCACATCCAAGTACATGCAGCCATATAATTGGTATCAATTTAAAGGTCAACCACTCCTCTTGGATATTCTATCAACTTCTCGGGTCTTTGTCCTTCAGGGGCAAATATATACGCCCCAGAACACAAATTTTGCAATTTTTCACACAAAAGTCATATGACCCGCAAAATATTGACAGATTTTTATCAAAACAATTCCCTTCTCCATGTAAAAAGGTGGGCCATAATCACGGCCTCTTGGGTGTGAAAATAGTATTTACTAATTACAATCACAGAAAAATGTATATGTGGGAAGAAATTATGCGCTGGAAAGGACATTGAAAGGGTTTTGTGAAAATATATATGGCCCTATATTGACAGAAAATCAGACAAAATTTTTGACATTTATTCACACAAAACAATAGGGGTCTTCATTGGCCAGAACCCATCCTACATGTGAAGATTGTTGCATAACTGTGACCTGTATCGTGTTTACAAATTATAATGGACAGACGGACGGACGGACACACATGTCTAGATTAGCGCATAATTTATGACGATGGTATACTTAAAGGTGGGTCTAGGACACACACTCTTGGGGCTGCACAAAGCTATAATACCCTGACAACATAGTTGTGTAGGGTATAAATATCCATATACGGTCCCTTAAGAAACATATATAGTAAAATGTCGGGACCCACTGTGCAAAAACGGATGAGAGTGAATCACCTTATATGTATGTATGTTTCTTACATATTTTTCTTAAGCGACATTTTCTGAAAGCCCTTTCAATCACTCTCACCCGTTGCACAGTGGATCTCGACTTTTTATTTCCAGGCTTGTTTTAAATACGAATTTAATTATGTTATACGGTGTTAAACTAAACCGTTATACTGGGCGCACCAACAAAGGTGGTGTCCGTCTTCCCTAAACAGAATTCGAATTTATTTTCTCACACATAAACGTGATATATAGGCCATATACCCCATTTATAATACCAAATATCGTTTGATTAATAACAATGTATAGACATATGTTCAAATGTATTTCAAATTAAACGTTAACTTTCTTATTTCTTACAGATGTTAATTTTGAAAAATTTGTCAACAATACGAAATGCCTGGACACCAATATTGCGTAAATACAGTTCGGCGGGATTACCAGAATTGTCGCAGGTAACTAATATTTAGGAATGTCCATAAAATAACAAATCGCTGGCTTAACATGTAAAGGCAAAAAGTCCATATTTCACAATATTCCAGAAGAGAAAAAACAATCAAACTTGTTTGATGTAAATGTAATTTGTTTTTGTATTGTAAGTGTATTTTATTTGCGTAAGTGTTTGCTGAGATATACGCTTATCATGGACTTAAGTCTTTTTCTTACAACTTTTTTACATGCTAATATTTTTTAAAAGAGTAAAGATTGTTTTGGTATCATAATTTATTCAAAAATATTGAATAGAAACACTTAAAAACGTTGTTAAGTTCGACATGGCCGAACTCAAAATTGTCAATAATTGGCGATACAGTTTTGTGAGGCCTAACCCAAATCGTACCTAAAATACCAAATAATGGGGGTAACGTAATATGGGGAGTACTCCAACACTTGAACCATTGATATTTTTGGAAGATAGATTTTGTACCCAATTATATACAAAAATATAAAATTACAGCCAATTCGTTTGAAAAACGTATCCAAACCTATCAAAACTTCGAATATTGGGGATAACGTTAACCCCACATACCCGAAAAAGTTGTCCAATAGTGATAATCTGCGACAAATATGATAATCCTTAGACAAATATTAAAAAAACAACGACTCATTGTACATCCTCAGATAGGTGCTATTTGAAAACATTAACCTATATTGAATAATTTTCTAATTTCGATTATGGTTAAAATCTTAATAATACCGACTGATATCGTAAAGGTGCGGTCTTCAAGAACCTATATTACTATATTACAGGAACTTTAGTGAGACTTAAACCTTAAAACTATCGGAACCTTTACATGGAGGTTATGTCAACGCTGGAACCTATTTGGAAAATTCGGTGAAAAAATACTGCTAAAATAAAAAATCCGAAAATGGGGCGGACGTATATAACAATTTTCAAAATAAAGATATTTTACCCCAATTATAATGGTAATTATAGCCACTACAATGCAAAAATGCTAATAAACCCTTAAAAATACCAATGTAAGGGCTACAAAAAATGGACTCAAATAGCAATGTCGCACTATGGGCCAGAGATACCAGTTTTTGACCGTAATTAGATCAGTGGGTTTATAAAATAAGTAAATATCAAATATAAGGATATATATAAGGAGGGCGCTGATTACGATTCTGCAAAAAAAGGTAAAAAATCAATGAAGTGGATCGAAAATCACGGTAGTATTTTTTAAAGGTTGAATTAATCACATTAATTTTGAACATGTTTTGTCCTCTTTTTAGAGGATAATCATCTATTTTAACTGGTTGTCATCTATAAAATGTATGTCCTCCATCTGTCATCTATTTCTGTAATTTATCGTCTTTGTCCTCCATATATTTAAAACCTTAATCAATATTTATTTTTCTTAATTAAAACAAATTTATTTTTAAGAAATTTTAGTGATTTCAGTGATTGGTGCACTAGGTTCTGAAACTAATTTTTTGAACAAAATCATATTTATTAGTTTTATATACGTAATTTTAAATTTCTAATAATTTTCATTTTCATTATAATCTCCAGTTCCAGCTGTTTAATTGACCGTCGATTCATGTAAATATTTTGACGCACCTCAATGTTATATAAGATTTTTCAAATATAGATTTTCTTCATAAAAAAATTAACTTGGTTTTGACCTCAGGTCAATTACCTCATTTGTTGTTGTTTCGTAGTGATGAGTAAAGGCCCTAAGTCCAATTTATCACATGTCGTTGGCTTTTTTGTCTCTATTGTAAAATTTGAGCTTATTGTTAAGCCAGGAGTATACTTCGAGGTGTTGAAAACGGAATTATTGATTTGAATATCCAGTTCACCATATGGTGGTGGGTATAAATATTTGAGCCAACTCGTATATTAAAATTCAATTAGAATTATAAATATCTCATGGAACATTTCCCAGAATTTCTGGGCATTTTATTCAATAAGTAATAACATTGTTGCGCAAGATTACGAAACAATAATAAAATAACAACAAAATAAAGGCAACATTAGTATATCCTTTTAAGGGCCTTCCGCACATTCTAAGAAAAAAAAAAATACAAATCAAATTTGCATCCACCATTACAACCAATAACAATATGCTGTTGATAAACATTGGCACACAAACGTACATACATACACACAAACAGAACACAATGTGACAGCAGTGACAGGATTAATGTTTTCCTAATCCCGCTGTTAACACACACTCAAGAAAATAACGAAAGGGATGATTACCACACACTCTACTAAGCATTTCGTATTTTTCTTCCCTTCCCATTCCAGGTACGCTACAATGTCAAACGTGGTAATTATTCCGAATTAAACGATCGGGATGTAACCTTTTTCGAGTCAATAATTGGTGCGGCAAATACACTGCGTGATGGCCCAGATGGCGATGACTTGCAAGGTTACAATATGGACTTTTGGCGCAGCGTAAGAGGTAACAGTAAACTGTTGCTCAAGCCAGGATCGGCACAAGAAATTTCGGAAATTTTGAAATATTGCAACCAGCGACAATTGGCTGTTTGTCCACAGGGTGGTAATACGGGTGTAGTGGGCGGTGCTGTGCCGGTTTATGATGAAATTATCCTTTCGTTAGGACGGCTGAATAAAATTCTAAGTATTGATGATATCACGGGCATTGTTGCCTGTGAATCGGGTGTCATTTTGGAGAATTTGGATGCGAAAGTTCAGGAGGCTGGTTTTGTGGTTCCACTGGATTTGGGCGCCAAGTCCAGTTGCCATATTGGTGGTAATATTTCAACAAATGCCGGTGGTTTGCGAGTTATACGTTATGGAAATCTCCATGGTTCGGTGTTGGGTGTTGAAGCGGTAAGTTGAAATTGAAAAAAATATTCTTTAAAAAATCCACGCCTTGAATGGTCCTTGAAAAATATTCTTTAAAAAATCCAAGCCTTGGATGGTCCTTGAAACAATATTCTTTAAAAAATCCAGGCCTTGGATGGTCCTTGAAAAAATATTCTTTAAAAAATCCAGGCCTGTGCCTCGGAAAAATATTCTTTAAAATATCCACGCCTTGGATGGTCCTTAAAAAAATATTCTTTAAAAAATCCACGCCTTGGATGGTCCTTGAAAAAATATTCTTTAAAAAATCCACGAAAATATTCTTTAAAAATCCACGCCTTGGATTGTCTTGGAAAAAATATTCTTGAATGGTCCTTGAAAAATATTCTTTAAAAAATCCAGGCCTTGGATGGTCCTTGAAAAAATATTCTTTAAAAAATCCAGGCCTTGGATGGTCCTTGAAAAAATATTCTTTAAAAAATCCAGGCCTTGGATGGTCCTTGAAAAAATATTCTTTAAAAAATCCAGGCCTTGGATGGTCCTGAAAAAATATTCTTTAAAATATCCACGCCTTGGATGGTCTTTGAAAAAATATTCGTTAAAAAATCCACGTCTTGGATGGTCCTTGAAAAAATATTCTTTAAAAAATCCACGCCTTGGATGGTCCTTGAAAAATATTCTTTAAAAAATCCAGGCCTTGGATGGTCCTTGAAAAAATATTCTTTAAAAAAATTCTGGCCTTGGATGGTCCTTGAAAAAATATTTTTTAGAAAATCCACGCCTTGGATGGTCCTTGAAAAAATATTCTTTAAAAAATCCACGCCTTGGATGGTCCTTAAAAAAATATTCTTTAAAAAATCCACGCCTTGGATGGTCCTTGAAAAAATATTCTTTAAAAAATCCACGAAAATATTCTTTAAAAAACCAAGCCTTGGATAGTCCCTGGAAAAATATTGTTTAAAAAAATCCTTTTATGTTTTCCAGGTTTTACCAGATGGTCGAATTTTGGATTTAATGTCGGACTTTAAAAAGGACAATACCGGTTATCATTTGAAACATCTCTTCATTGGTTCCGAAGGTACCTTGGGTGTTGTAACAAAAGTGGCAATATTGTGCCCTCCTCGTTCGGAGTCTGTGCATTTGGCATTTTTGGGTAAGTTCGGAGAATGTTAAAAGGAAAATTAAAAAAAAAACTTCTCATTATCTTCCTTTAGGTCTCAACTCATTCGACAATGTCATGCAAACCTTTAAAAATGCCAAACGTTACTTGGGTGAGATACTGTCGTCCTGTGAAATGATTGATGATGTCTCACTGAATGCGGCTGTGGAAAATATGAATTTGAAGTGAGTCAAAAATGAAGTTCAATATGTTATATTCCAATTTACTTATTAAAATTGTATCCCAAATTTAGATCCCCCATAGACAGCTATCCCTTCTACATGATGATCGAAACTTCGGGCAGCAATGCCGAACATGACATGGAAAAATTGAATAATTTCCTTCAGCTGACAATGGACAGGGGTGATGTCGTGGATGGCACCTTCACTGGGGAACCTAGTAAAATTCTGGAAATGTGGAAATTGCGTGAAATATTAGCACCAGCATTGGCCAAGGATGGTCATCTGTACACCTATGATTTATCCTTACCGTTACGGTCATTTTATGACATTGTCAAAGTTGTGGAAAAACGTGTCGGTCATATGGCAAAGAGGGTTAGCGGTTTTGGTCACTTGGGTGATTTAAATCTTCATTTGAATATCACCACGGAAGAGTATACCAAGGAAATGTATAATGCCCTCGAACCATTCGTTTTCGATTATACATCTCAGCTGAAGGGTAGCGTCAGTGCTGAACATGGTATTGGATTCCTGAAGACTCAATATTTGAAAAATTCGAAAAGTTCTGAAGCCATACAAATGATGCATGAGATTAAGGGTTTGGTGGATCCAAACGGTATTCTAAATCCCTATAAAGTTTTAAGATCGTAAAATAAAAGAAGATACTCAAAAATAAACAATATAGGGCTCTAAATTAAAACAAGAAATAAAAGAAACTACGTTTTTTTAAAACAATTATTTTAAACGTGGATTAAAAAAATGCAAGGACTTTTATTGGCCTGCATTTTTTTAAACATATTTTTAAATAAAAAATAGTTTTAGGAGAAATAGTTCCAGAAGAAGAAGACTAGCTCGACTAGCTGAGTCGATCTAGACACGTGTGTCCGTCTATTATAATTTGTAAACACGATACAGATCACAGTTATGGACCAATCTTCACGAAATTTTGAATGTAGGATGGGTTGTGGCCAATGAAGACCCCTATTGTTTTTAGAAAAGATCGGGTAATATTTATTGGAAGAAATGAACCAAATACATTATTTTTGTCCGATTTTCTAGTCGCTCCAGAGGTCGCAATTATGACCCGAACTTCGCGAAATTTCACAGGGAGAAGGGGATCGGGCCAAAGAATAAGCATGCCTGTTTTCATAAATATTTAGCTGGTCAAATGGACCCTGACTTTTGTGTGAAAAATGTCAAAATTTGTATTCTATGGCGTATATATTAACCTCTGAAGGACATAGACCCGAAAAGTTGATAGTATATCCAAAAAGGAGTGGTTGACCTTTAAATTGATACCAATTATATTGTCGTATGTACTCGGATGTGGGAGCTACACTTAAATATATACAGGTATTTACGTGTTCATATATTATTTGGTAACCCATTACCACACTAGAAGACGGAAATATAGCACTGATCGCTTTGAAATTTTCCATGATGTTCCAGGTATGGTCAAGGACAACGCCTTTAATTTTCGGTGATGATCAGATACAAATTTTGGGATGAAGTGGACCGGAAACTTATTTTTTTATCTTTTTTCGAGTCGACAATTATAAGCCGGAAGGGAATCTGGACAAGTAATTAGAAGGGCTGTCTGAATATTAGTAATATTCGGAAAATATGTCACTGTAAGAATGTTCTGTTGACCTCTAATTGGGCAAGAGGGTGCAAATATCACGAAATATTGCCCAGGCTCAGAATAAACATCAGCAGAAAGTTAGTGTTCCCTGGTAGTTGTGTAGGCAGTATAGTCGGGCCTGTCCGACTATACTGCTCCGCTCACTTGTTTTTTTAAATATATATATATTAGGACCAGTGTTGCCAAAACTTTGTTTATAAAATTACTAAATGTTGGTAAACACAATCCTAGAAAGTGCTAAAAATTAAAAAAGTGCAAATAAAAGAAATTTTTAGAATTGACTGCAATTTGATATTTTGGATTCACATTAAGTAAAAATTTCCCAAGCAAAAATCAGTCAATGTGGGTCTATGTTTCGGGGTAGGCTCTAGAAAGGGCATTTTGGGGACGTCGGACACCTTTTTCCACTATAATTTTAAAATATTAATTCTAATGTTGACACACCATTAGAATTTTGTAATTTTAAGGTTTAAAACCTTTGTTCCGCCGAAATGGGTGTAATTTAAAAATATATTTGCCGACATTTTTCGATGTAGGTGCATCTTTTGACATAAACCCATTATAAAGTGGGACGCGACCCATTTTCGGTCCTCTGAAGTGTCTACAGTTTGGCATTCCGGATTATCGGTGAATACAAAACTCCATTTCAGAATGTTGCTTTAGTAGCCATATGAAGTACCGGACCATTTTTATACCCTCAGCCTTATGGCTAATGAAGTTATATACATTTCGATACGGTGGAAATGTGTCTCATCGAAATATTGATTTTAGACCCCATGTTTCTTTGGACCAAATCAGTTTCAGAAAATTTGGAGTCTGGCTGGTGCGCACGATAACTCTCGAAGGGAATAATCGATTTCATCCAAACTATGCACATCCTAATATTTCTTCCAAACTTCGAAGACGGGGAATATCGGTCCAAACTCCTCCACAAAATGGTCAAAATTGTGCTAAAAATTTGTTTCATAATAACAAGCAAACGAACTATCCGATTTTAACGAAACTTTTCAAAACATATTCTATTAATCAGGCCAGGATTAATTTTGAAGATGGGACGCATTGGTACACTGGTACCTACCCCACAGAGTGTAACCTTTTTCATTATGTATGAATCCAATATCAGGCGAATGGAATGTCCGATTTGAATCAAGCTTTACACAACCTATTATCATTACCAAGCCCAGATCAAGTTTGAAGATGGGACCCATTGGTGCACTCATTCTGGTACCTCCCCCGCAAAGGGTAAACATTTCCAATATTTATGTATTCAATATCAGGCGAATGGAATGTCCGATTTGAACCAAACTTTACACAATCTGTTATCTTTACCAAGCCTAGATCCAGTCTGAATTTGGGAATTATGCCCTCTTATCTGGTACATCCTACAAAAGGGTCAATATTATATAGTTGATCAACATAAAATGCGATGCAGGGTATAAACAGTTTTCAAAATTTAAAATTATTCCTTGGGTGTTAAATTTTCCTACCAAAAAATATATATCCAGAATAATTTCTATATAGGTCCATGTTTTGGTATAGTTCCCATATACCAACATCATAAGCGTTTCGGTATTTTGATGTTGTCTTTGCAAAGAGATGGTGACATAGGTCCATATTTTGACTTAATGTTCATATAAAGGTTTTTGTATTATATTGAAAATGATTGTGTTTTCAACCGAATTCGCTGTAATTCGCAATATGTGTTCTTATAGGGTACCAAATCTCCACACAAAAATTATCGATATTGGTCCACTTTTTCGGGTAGCCCCCACGTTTTTAAACCCAAAATGACTGCATTTTGGTATGTTCATTATTTCTGCAATAATTATAAATATTGATCGAAATTTTTGTGTAGCCCACATACAAGGAACCTCCAAATCTTCGGTATTTTAGGGGTTCAGAGCAGAATTCGCCGTAATTTGGTATTTTTTAACAATTCTCCCTTCCAAAATAATATTCGCCCCTGTTGGGGGTAATCCCCATATAACCCCCTCTTTACACTGTGGTACAGGGTATTATGTCTTTATGGCAAGGCAAAAAGTAACGAGATAGACACAGGGTTCCTTTCGAGAATATGCATGAATCACTTTCTGAATCGATTTATGCATGCCCGTCTGTCCATGTTAAGTTGTGAACAAAGTACAGGTCGCATTGATGATCCGAGTTGGATGAAATTTGGTACAGTTCATCTATTTGAAGCACGAACACTATTGAAATTGGAAAAAATATATTCGCCCGATTTTATGTAAATGATGATGCACCAAAGTCTCTATATGTCTTTCGATTTCCACGAAATTTGGCATAGTGTTGGTCCGTCCGTCTTTTGATGTTGAAATGTAAACAACGTGTAGGTCACATTTATAATCCGATTTGGATGAAATTTGGTACAGTTCATTTATTTGGCCCAAGAGCGAACCCTATTGAAATCGGTTAAAGATCGGTTTAGATATAGCCCCCATAAATATTTTCATCCGATTTAATGTAAATTGTAGACTAAAGACCCGAAGTTTGGCCGATTGGCACAATATTTTGTACAATGTACTGGAGTTAGTATAGCCTTACGTGTGTCAATTTTACATATAACTCCTATATATTTTTTCGTTCGATTTTTAGTAAAAGGTGCACTACAGATCACTGGCTAGGCCGATTGGCACAACGTACTGAAGTTAATAAAAACAATAATTGAGACGTCAACAGCTTTAAATTGATACCCATATTGCATGGGAAAATACAAGGTTCACAGAGGAAATTTCGATGTCCATATCTCAGGAATTATGGATTTTATAGTACACCTAAGTCTGTTTTTACACGGTAGATTGGTTCAAGAAGAAGCCGTGTAAAAAAAGACATTGATCTTATACATAAAGGGAATTCCCCTAAATTAGTGCCATTCACATTTGCTTTGACCAGTAAAAATTGTTTGTGCGCGCTAAAGGGGAATTCACTTAAATCTTTAAGCTAGTGTTCGCAAACTATCGATACTATCGATGGTTTCAGACTTTTTTCTTTCATAAATACTTTTTTGTGATATGAACATACTTCGCAAAAACTAAATTTGATAAACAAATTTAAGTACATAAAATTTCAAATCGTGCTAAATGGAATAAAATCGTGTAAAAAATTAAAAATATTCAATTTTGAAACCGTGTTATATCAAACCCGTGTACAAAAAACCGTGTAAAAACAGACTTAGGTGTACACCGAATTTTCCATAATTTGTTCAAAAAATTTAGAATATTTTTTGGTATATTGGAAAAAAAACTTTAAATCTCATAGTTTTTTTTAAGAGAATCAATACTCACCCAATACAATATTCTCCCACATGTTCATACCCCCCGCCACCATCATGATCTGTTGTTGCCTGTTCAAGAGAAGCACAACAACTGCGCACATAATTTTCTACTGTGTGACAAACATATGTTGCTCAAGTCTAGCGGAGCTCATTTTTGAATGCCTGCTTTATTTTGTTTTCTATTCATTCATACATTCAGTGTTTGTTTTGCTTTCGCCGAGTGTTGTCCACAAGATTTTTTATTTTACTGTTCGTGTTTATTCGTAAAGGTATTAAAATCTCACAGTCTTACTTAACAAAATATCAAGGAAATAATAATGATTTGATAATTCTGCAACTGTATTAAAAATATATATATAAGAAAAAAAGTGTTTATTTCTTATTTAAATTGTGGAAATAACTTTAATAAAAATTTTCCTGTAATAGAATAATAAAAACAATTAAATGTGTATGTTGGTTTTGTGTGTGTTGGAATTATTTTTTGTTTGCAAAATAAAATTGAGAGCAAAGCGTAACTGAGAATTCACAATTAAAAACGACTGACGCAAAGAGAAAGAAAGAGAAAATGTGTTTAAAATGTAAATGGAATTATTTCGTTGTGTGTTCAACAATTACGGTGTGAGGGGTGGGGTCGATAAAATTCAGTGTTGCCATGTTACGTTGTAATGACATCAAAATAAAAAAAATGTGAAAAAAAGAAATGCTTGGTGTAGAAAAATACTGTAGAATGAAAATATCAGTTCTTGAGGACTATCATTAAACAAAATGGTTATTAACACTACGGAAAATAACTAAAAAAAATTATATGTCGTACATTTGCACCCATCCAAATTATGTAATTAATTTAGAAATGGGACTGCCATATGTTTTTTTTTGTAAATTAGTCTATACGATCCTGAGGTAGATGTAGGAACTGGAAATTATATTAGGTTGGGGAAAAAGAAATCCATTATTTTTTCGGCAGTCGTCGAAAATAAACTATGGATCGACTTAAATCAATCCATAAACATGCCATTTGTTTGTTACAATGGGACAAAATTAAGTAAATCCATTTAAGGGGACCCCCATTCTCGGTTTCAAAAAAAAAATAATTTTGTTTTTTGATTTAATTTGAACCTACACTAATTCCAGAATGTTCCTATAAAATTCCAAGTAAAAATCTCAACAACTTTTGAAGATATAGCCGATTTGTTGTGTCAGCATCATGCAACGGCAAGAGTGATTCACAAACTTTAATCGCTTTTTTCTAAAAACAGTGATTTTATGAATGGCGATAACGATAACTCAAATACTACTAATCCAATCGGTTCCAAATTTTTACACGTCTCTTTGGGTATAGAGCTATCGTATGAACTAGGATAAATCCGATCGGTGAAGATCATCCCTATTTTTTTTTACTTAGTTTGTTTTCAAAAATAGGCAATTTTTCAAGAATATTTATTCAATGCTCTGTTCCTATCGGTCATATTTTGGGTCCTTGGTGCATCATTTACTTTAAATCGGACGAAAATATATTGGACCTATATGCAAATCTGAACCAATGTCAACAAAACTTGGCATACGTTAGGCTATAGTATCTTCAGTACGTTGTGCAAAATTTTGTGCCAATTGGCTTAACTTTGGGTCTTTGGTGCTCCATTTAATTAAAATTGGACGAAAAAATATATATGGGAGATATATCTAAATCTGAACCGAAAGCAACAAAACGGTGCATACATTAATCCGCATCGTACGATGTGCTAAATTTTGTTCTAATCGGTCTAACATTGGGTCTTTGGTATATCTGAGTGTGAAGTTGAATTGTAGGATACTATCTTGGAAGATTGTAAATGATCTTCAGATTCTTATTTTGTTTAACTTCTGGTTTTTTCATGCGCGATTTGGCACAGTTATACCAAATTTGGCAGCCATGCGTTAGAATTGGCCTTAGACACATTTTGTAAAAAAGTACATTATTTTCGAAATTTAATTTCCAATGTTTATTTAGTATAGGATATAAAGATCAATTACATCTTACAGCCTTATGACATGCGCCTTGTATATATTGTTTAAAGGTTAATTTTTCATCTAGAATGACGCCTAAATATTTAACGGATTATGAAAATTCAAGTTTCTTATCATTTACCTTAAGTTTTATAGAAGAAATTCTTTTGGGGACTTATTGCAAGGAATATAATCACTTGAGATTTGTCTTCATTAATTTGTATTCTCCATTTGGAAAATATATTTAGAGGTTAATACAAAAGCTTTCGGAATTCTCCTCACGATTGAGTTAGAAACCTTTCCTTGATAATAGCTGTCATCTACATAAAACGCTACCACGTTGATTTTGGAAATTTTGAAATGGGAGATGTAAAGGAATACAGTAGAGGTGACAGTACTGAACCCTGAGGGACACCAGCAGGAATATTACGTAAATACGATCGTCTTTCTTCGACTGAGATAACTTTTAATTTTATCAGGTATAAAGGAGTATACAATTTAGGACGTTTACAAATTAGACCTTTGTTTCAAATAGAGTCGAAAAGTCAATATCAAAGAAAATTAAACCAGTATAAATACTTCGGATTTTATTCGTTATTATATACTATTTTCTCAAAACATGTACTTATGGGGCTTAATAGTCTATAATTGGAAGTAAGTTTTTTTGGGTCAATTTAAAAGCACTCGGAACGAATAGATTTTTTTAACAATTTGACATAGAACTTTTTTTAGGTCTCCGACAATTATTTTGATACTTTATGAAATGAAAAATATATACACTTGCAATTCACACATTAAAAACATGGCAACCCTAACATATGTTCAAACAGAGAGAGACACAAACAATGACCGGTTTGAAATTTTATTCGAGAGATAAGAGAATTTTTTTTAAACTGTTTTTGTTGGCAGCAAGTGACCAAGTGTCTATTGAATAGACCTGTGTACATAATTATGTAGAGACACTCAACATAATATTATGGAAATATACTACGCAAAAGTATGAGAAAAACATTTCATAGTTCTATATGTTTATCTGATCACACCGGTGTCGCGTGCTATCTTCGTGTTTATGTTCTTGGCCACACTTTGACTCTATTGATTAGGGAGAACTTCTGTCTGTTGCCTGTCTAGAAAATTAATTGATAAACGATTTTTTGAAATAGTGGTAAATGCTTATGCTGAAAATCGAAAAATTTACTTTAGGGGATTTACAAATAAATTTGACAAAAGTTGAAATTTTTCTGAATTTTTATAGACCATTAAGTGACAATAAACGAAAACATTATATAGAGCAAAATAAAAGATAACGGTAATAGCGCATAGAAATTCCCTACTAAAAATTGCAAAAAGTAATACAGTAAAATTCCCATAAATTGAACCAACTTGGACTTATGGTGACATCGAGCTATGTAATTAACAATAATGCCTCAAAAATTCTACTTCACTACATTTTTTGTCTTGGACCCACGAACCAACACTCAGTTTTATATATTTTTTATAAATGTAATTTTTTACAGATGTTACGGTCTATCAATTTACAGAAAATAAAAAATACAGTTTTACCTGCCATTCGGACATATAAAACTTCAAAGATACCAGAATTGACTGAGGTAAGTAAAATATACATATTTTCAATTGAACTCAGAAAATTCTTCAAAAAATTCCCGACTTGGATAACCTTTGAAAAACTATTCTTTAAAAAAGGCACACCTTGGATGGTCTAGGAAAAATATTCTTTGAAAAAGTCACGCCTTGGATGATCTGAGAAAATGTATTCCTAAAAAAATCCACGTCTTGGATGGTCTGGGAAAAAATGTTCAATAAAAAATCCACGCTTGGATGGTCTGGGAAAAATATTCAATAAAAAATCCACGCCTTGGAAATATATCCTTTTCATTCAATTCGTTTTGTAAACTGATTTTTAATATTTATTCTATTACTCCATTCTAGGTTCGCCACAAAATCCAACGTGGTAATTATGGCGAATTAAATGGCAAAGATGTTTCCATCTTCGAATCTATTGTTGGCCCCACAAACCTCCTGCAAGATGGCACCGATGACTTGCAAGGTTACAATGTGGACTTCTTGGGCAGTGTAAGAGGACGCAGTAAATTAGTACTGAGGCCAGGCTCAACACAAGAAATCTCCGAAATTCTGAAATATTGTAATGAACGACGTTTGGCTGTGTGTCCTCAGGGTGGTAATACCGGTTTGGTTGGTGGTTCCGTACCAGTTTGTGATGAAATTGTCCTATCATTGGCACGTCTGAATAAAATTCTCAGTATTGATGATATTACCGGGATCACAGCATGCGAATCTGGTGTAATTTTAGAGAATTTAGATGCTAAAACAAGGGAGGCGGGTTTTGTCGTTCCCTTGGATTTGGGTGCCAAATCCAGTTGTCACATTGGTGGTAATATTTCAACAAATGCTGGTGGTTTGCGTGTGATACGTTATGGAAATCTGCATGGTTCGGTGTTGGGCGTTGAGGCGGTAGGTTTTTTCAATCGGATTTTTATTTCTAAAAAAATCTTAATGGAAATTTTCTTTTAGGTTCTGGCCAATGGCAAGGTTGTCGATTTGATGTCGGACTTTAAAAAAGATAACACTGGCTACCATTTGAAGCATCTGTTCATTGGTTCCGAGGGAACACTGGGTGTTGTTACAAAAGTGGCCATTCTGTGTCCAGCCATTTCGGATTCCGTCAATGTGGCCTTTTTGGGTAACTATTCTGAAGTCTTATTCAATATTTGGAATAAAATAATATAATTTGCCCCATACTCAGGTCTAAATTCCTTCGAAGCTGTCATGCAAACCCTGAAGAATGCAAAACGCCATCTGGGTGAGATTCTATCATCTTGTGAACTTATTGATGCCCCCTCATTGGCTGCCAGTGTGGAGAACAATAATTTACAGTGAGTATTAGAAAAGCAGCACCTATCATCTTCCAAATATTAGGGAAAATATGCATATTCCCAAAAATTCGTAATTTCTGATTTGTTTCCTAATGATTCTCCTTTTCTCCCAACAGATCCCCCATTGAAGGCTACCCATTTTATATGCTGATCGAAACCTCTGGAAGCAATGCCGATCACGATATGGAGAAGTTAAACAATTTCATCCAACTGGTTATGGACAAGGGCGATGTGGTCGATGGTACCTGCACAAGTGAACCTAGTAAGATGCAAGAAATTTGGAAGCTAAGAGAATTCATTTCGACTGCCCTGACCAAGGATGGTTATTGCTTCAAATATGATATATCTCTACCACTGCGTTCCTTCTATGAAATCGTTAACGTGGTGGAAAAACGTGTCGGCCATTTGGCTAAACGTGTCACGGGTTATGGTCATTTGGGTGATTTGAATCTCCATCTCAATGTTTCCTGCGAACAATATAATCCCGAATTGTATAAATTATTGGAACCTTTTGTCTATGAATATACCGCTCAGCTGAAGGGTAGTGTTAGCGCCGAACATGGTATTGGCTTTTTGAAGACAAAATATTTGAAACATTCGAAAGCACCCGAAGCCATAAATATGATGCGTGAAATGAAACAGTTGCTGGATCCTAATTGTATTTTGAATCCTTATAAGGTTTTGTATTGATTTGTGTTAATATAGCTGTGTGGACTTAATAATATGTGTCATAGGAAATTTTAATTTTATGTAGTGAATAAAATAATAAAGAAAAAAGTGATATATTTTTAGAAAATTTAAAAAATAACAAATTTTACTCATTTAAAGTGAAATTTTGTTTTATAAGTCCTTGAAAAATTATTATTTAAGAAATACACGCCTGTAATGGTCCTTGAAAAGTATTATTTAAAAATTTAGGGATAATTTGATGACCATTGAACTATCAGAACAAATTCTTCCATTACAACAACGTTGGAAAGATTATTGCATATGCCAATTTGCATTAACTGTTGAAATATAAATACTGAATGCAAGTCTAATAAGTATTTGGAAATATATAGATATCCACATTGATTTATGTAAAATGTTATGCGAAAATAATTGGAATGATATTATCTACAAAATTTCTTTACCACAGAAAATTTCTTTAAAATCTGAAAGACCTTTTAGAATTTTGACATTAAATAAAACTTTTTTGATTTTGGAAGTATATGTAGTTAAAACTATAACGTTGATTCGAAATTCGTTTATCTATATTAATTTGTTGTTAGCTATTTCAATCACCCCTATTCCGTATGTCGTCGTCGACACAAAACGACGTCGTTGAGAGTCGTTTTTTGCAAATTGGTATTCCCTATGTCGTTGTCGACATTTATCGATAACTATTGACACATTTTTGGTATTCCGTAACAAAGTTTGACGACGACGATGTCGAAGATTCTTCGTCATTATTTTTGTAGACGAAGTGTTAGAACAAAATTTTTTTACCCCTCGGCAAACAAAGCCATACATTCCCCACTAATAAATAGTTGTTTTTTTATAAAAATAACAAACTGGGATTCAGCCTGACTATTTTGCAAAAACAAAATACAAATGGTATACCAAATAAACCGCCAACACTTTTTTTTAAGGAATTAAAAAAATGTCCGATCAAGAAGAGGATACGTCATTCTCGACTCTATTCAACAAGTTTTGGACAATTTCGTGCAAATAAAAATAATACTAAAATAATAATTAAAATAATACTAAAATGTAACTATGGGTCTATCTCGTTTCCAATTGGATGTTGCAAGGATACAAACACATTTTTGCACAACGACGACTTACGGAATAGGGGTGAATAAAAAAAACAAGGCAAAGGCACATTACTTATACACTGTTTTGACCAAAAATTGCAGGAAAATTCTCAACAAAAAGTTCAATGCTGGTGGTACTTATGAAACCATATCTAAATTTATTTTTCAAAGAGAGATATATTATTTTGAATGGTGATTAACATATGTTCAACTTGTATAGTCACGCCGTGATGTATGTCCAACAATTCCACCGAAAAATGCCCTGGCTGGAGTATCGCATATAAGCGCTCTTATTCAGAACTGTAAAGTTTTCCCCCCATAATGCAAGTCTATTTGTGACCAAATTATCTATTTTTTATATTTACTATATTTAATAGAATTGCTCACAACAGTGTTCTGCAGATTTATTATAAAAGGAATTCCGTCAATGTTGACATATACCACAATTTCGTCATATTTTTCTACCAAACTCAAAACCCAATATATTTGTTTACTAAACTAACGTATGGGTATTTTCCGGGGAAAATTTATTATGTTATATTTTTTCTTAAAAAATGTTTTAGCGCTCAAAGGGCACTTTCTAGAATGAGTGCTTCCGTTATAACAATCACACAACTAAACCTCCAGAAAATTCATCCTCCATAATTTCTAAAAACGATGCTCCTTCTTCCACATTTACTGAGAATATGTTCACGATTTTTCCGTTAAATTCGAATGTAACGGGTAAAATAATATTTGACTCTCCAAATTAAAAAAACTTCTGTTCATTGTAGATTCAAACAAGTTAGCTGGCGTTTGCACTGATGATGTGGTTGTAAAAAAGGATGAGTTCAACGTAAAATTTACCAAAAATGGATTTGAAGGTTACAGTTTACACTGTATTATTCACCAGCTAGCTCTTACAGCAATGTTTTTAACAGCCCATCCAGCAATGAAATAAAGGTCGAGGTGTCCATCTAATTAACTAACACGCCGTAAATTTTTAAGTTTTTTTGAAAAATAAAGGTACGTCTTTCTTTGATTTTAAAATCTTCTCCAAAACTGGGTGGTTAAACCGCGATTATAGCTCTAACCGACTATTCGAGTTAAGAGGTGAAGTAGTGGAATTTTTAGAAGAAGAAAATATGTATGTGCACATTATTCTTAAACATAAACATTTCATTATGGACTTTGCATTTCTATCAGATTTATCTACAATTGTGAATGAATTAAACATGGAACATCTAGGGAAAAATACCAGTCAAATGAGTTATGGAAAGGCGTGAATTTAAATTTAAAAATATGTTGTATTCTTTAAATAAAAATTTGGGGACACAAAACTTCAAAGAATTACCAAGTATATTACAAATGTACATTACTGCTCACAAATTAGAGTAGGGGAGAGGTGGGCACCGTTTGAACGGGGGCACCTTTGAACAGCGCTCATAAAATCTTGGTTTAAATTTTTTCCGACCAGCTACCACATTTTTGTATATGGCAATCTTGTTCTTTATCTGCGTAAACCACTTTGGCTAGCTTATTCAGTTGTCGACAAATTGTACATGGGTGACTATAGGTGACAAGGGCGCAGGAAGAATTCTGTGAAAGTTTTCTTTCGTTAAACAAATTTTTTGCAACATGCCCATTAAATTCGAGTAAAAAGCGGAGTTTTTAACTTTTGGCTTCGATTTCTCAAAATTTCAAATGAGATAATAAGACTACGAAATTAACTGTATTTTTCATCATATTAATTTTTGTTTTTATGTCATTTTATGTTTTAATAAATTTTGATCTGAATATTTTAATTTCGAAAATTTTTGTATATATTTTTTAATAAATAAATGCATTTCTGATATGTTTGAATAAAATACATTTATATTTTAACATAAACACTGTAAAAAACCAAGCCGTTCAAAAATGACAAGCCTTGTTCAAAGGTGCCCCCTGGGGGCAGTTTTGAACATTTTGACTTCCTCCCTTAAAACAGCAATAAAATATTTATATCAAGCTTAAAGTATGTCATATCCGATTATTCATTCCTAAAATATATATCATACAAATGTCACTTATATTTCGCTTCAATAAAAATATGTGTGAAGAACTTTTCTTATATTTAAATTTATATGTTCAAAGTAGAGAAATTCATTACAAACAGAAATAATAAGCATTTTATTAATAAGGAATACAAGTTAATACATCCCACTAGAACAATACAGATAATGTCTATGTTTTTCCAAAACTTAGTATCTTCAAACCTAAAAAATTAATATAAATGCTTTAATTTACTGGATATTAATGTGAAATGGGTTCAAAACTTTGAATAAATACATAAGTATATGTCTCTAAAACTGTTGTACAAATATAAATAATAAAATGTGCTCCTTCCTCACACGTTAAGGTGTAAAATTTTCTCTCCGCTTTTAAAATTAAAATTTCGATATATGTATTTAAAATATTCTCGCGCAATTGCTTATTTCTATTAAAAATATTTTTGTGGGAACACTTTTGTTAGCTAAATTTTATCCTTATACAGTGGCTCCATCGAATAATCGGACAAGTGGTTGTCAGATATAATAACGCTTTACATTTCAAAAAAATTGTCTAAATGTGTAGTTTTTTCGCTTTTATTTACACATTACTTACTTATATTTCTGAACAATACAAAAAACAACAACTTTCCTAGTGATAACAGTAAATTTCGCCAGAAAAACAAAATTAATTCAATTTATTGTGTTCAACGCAAAATCGGACAAAGCAAAGTATCAATGGTAAAAAATGCAAAAAATCGAGAAACTAATATTTAGTTGCATATTCTTTGTTGTCCAGAACGGCCTGTAAACGCTTCGGTATTGATTTGACCAAATTCTGACATACCTCCGGCTCTATGGAGTTCCACGATTCCAGTAAAGCCTCCTTAAGCTGTACTAAGGAGTTAAATTTTTTTTCATACACTCTCCTAGCTAATTCTTCCCAATGATGCTCAATTACGTTAAGGTCTGGGCTCTGTGCAGGTGTTTGTATATGTTTGGGGCAGTTATGGATCAACCAAAGCTTTGCTACACCTGATGTGTGCTTGGTATCGTTGTCTTGATAAAAGGCAAAGTTGTTCGCGATACCCAATTTGTCTGCACTTTGCTTTACATTTTGTTTTAAAATGTTGAGGTAGACAAATTTGTCCATTTTACCATCAATAAAATGCAAATTACCTACTCCCGCACTCGACATGCAGCCCCAAACCATAACGGAACCTCCTCCGTGCTTAACAGTGGCTTTTGTATTCTCATTATTATAGTCAGCATTTGGCTTACGCCACACATACATCTTCCCATCTGATCCGTGCAAATTAAATTTGCTTTCGTCAGTAAACAGAACCTTAATATAATGAAAACTATCAATAGAAATTTATTTTAAGATGATCTATCATCAAATTACCTGCTTCCAATAATCGTCTGGTTTTAGTAAAAACTCCTTGGCATATTTTATACTACAGTTTTTATTTTTAAGGCTAATAAATGGCTTTTTTCTTGCAACTCTCCCATAATAATTATATTTATGCAATGTATTGCGAATAGTATTTAGGCACACATCTTTTCCAGTGCGAGTTTTTAAATTTATTTTAAGTTCTTTTGCGGTTTAAAATGAATATTGTTTTATTTCTTTTAATATCGAACGCTCTTCTCGCTCATTTAATATCTTCCCTTGACCTTCTCTGCTTTTATTGGTCAATCGGAACTCATCACGGAACCTCTTTATAATGTCTTGGACAGTAGATTTACTCATTCCTACCAATTCGGCAATTTCTCTTACTGTTTTATCTTCATAACTCAATTTATCTATTAATTGCCTGATTTCCACACTGGATTGTTTCCCTTTTGGAGCCATTTACATTTATTTTTATTTAGTATTACCACTTTCTTGGTCTAAATGCAATTTACGAATGAATATGACAAACAAAATACCGATTTGAAGTTAATATTTGCATAATAACGGGACTTTAAACATTGATACTTTGCTTTGTCCGATTTTGCGTTGAACACAATAAATTGAGTTAATTTTGTTTTTCTGACGAAATTTACTGTTATCACTAGGAAAGTTGTTGTTTTTTGTATTGTTCAGAAATATAAGTAAGTAATGTGTAAATAAAAGCGAAAAAATTACACATTTAGACATTTTTTTTTGAAATGTATAGCGTTATTATATCTGACAACCACTTGTCCGATTATTCGATGGAGCCACTGTATATAGCCTATCTTACTAATCTTGTTGGTGTGTGCTTCTAAATGTCTCTATCAAGTTTTATTTGTTCTTCCGTTGGCTCTGGAGGCACTCTATTTTCTAACATGAAGTCTGCTTCATTTAGTTCTGGTTCAATATACATATATGTATATTGACATCGAACTGCTGTGTATATGGGGTTGCAAAAAAATTTTAATCAGCAGGTACCATTAATTATTGTACCATGGACTCTTCCACTTGCTTATTTTTTATTTATAATACAATAAAGAACTGTTTAAGCCAATTCCGATATTTCTCATAAATGGAAATATTTAAAGATTTCCACAATTGTATTTTTTTAGTTTAATACTAACTCATATTTTCCTAATGTACGTACATTTGTCCTTTTCACACAATCTTATAAAATGTGCGCAGCATTTTATTATTTTATTATATTTTATAAGAACAAATTTCTCGAGTTTTCGGATGTTATCCGTGGATAACTGTAATATAATTCCATTTTTTGGCATAATATTTTACATAAATCAATGTGGATATCTTTATGATGGTCGCATGTTTCCTGTTTAATTACTCTCGCCTCGTTGAGAGTGCGTACATAGTGGTTACTACCAAAGACTCTTCAGTCTTTGGACTGACCGATAAGATGTTGGTCCCGCCATATTGTTGGGTTCATATTTTTTAACTCGATGTTAGCTATATCTCGTGGAATGCCTCCAATTCCAAGAATTAGGCTTGGAATCAATATTAATGTTTTTAACAGTTAATGCAAATTGTAATAGAAAGTAGTCCTTTCCAACGAAGAATTGTCGTCAAATTATCCCTAATAAGGGATATTTTCAGAAATTTTTAAATACAACGTCAAGCAACACTTTCGAAACTCTTTACTATTGAAATTTTCCAACGATACACATGATTTTATGGAAGAATTGTCCTGTAAGATGGAGCTTATTGCATATAGTCCTGTCGGCAATTAGCGAATACACAAAAATGGGAAGTTTTAGGAAAATGTATTAAAAATTGAAAACGCGTCGCATAATGGTGGGAATGTAGAATCTCTCTGGCTTTCCTTTTTATAGCAACTTCGATCATGTGCTCGTCTCGAAAGAGAAATTAATAGAAACATTTAAAACATAAAACTTAAAAACTCAAAAATTCTGCTTGAGCCCAACTGGGATTTGAACCCTGGTTCCCATGGCATCTGTTGATTGTTGTCCGGCGTCTTAACGTTCAAAGCCACCTCCTTATTTTCCTAAGGTTGCACAATATGCAGTTGTTTACCATTGAATAAAAAATATTGTAGTCTGTAGGGGAAAAAAGTCCGTCACTACAAGAAAAATCTGCTGTGAAAAGGAATTTTCTTCTGTTGTGCCAAATGTCCGAACCTTGGCACGGTTGAATTGGTAATGCAATTTCACAACATATAAAAAACAAAAAAAAAAACTCTAAGGAAAGCAGTAAAGTAGTAATACCCTTCACCACTTTGGGCATATTCAACAGATGTTTTCTAACAAACGTCGTATTACGCAAAAAAAATATTTTCACAAAACTTGATACACTTTTGGCTACATTAACTTCAGTACATTGTGCAAAACTGTGGGCCAATCGGCCATATTTTGGGTCTTAAGTGCACCGTTTACTTAAAATCGGACGAAATTGTATATGGGTACTATTGATTTCAGTGATCCTTTAATTTGAATCGATTTCAGTGATCCTTTCTACACAGTAGGTCATACTAAGTACGTTGTGCAAAATTTTGGGTCTTTACTGCACCATTAACTGAAAATCGGACGAAACTATATATGGCAGCTACATCTAAATCTGAACCGATTTCAGCGAAACTTTCCATACGGTTATACTAATTTCAGTACGTTGTGCAAAATTTTGATCCAATTGGCAATATTTAGGAGCGTTGGCGCACCATTTACTGAAAAGTCGGACGAAAATATATTTGGGACTATATCTAAATCTAAACCGATTTCCTCGAAACTCTTCACACAGTAGGTTATACTAATTTCAGTACGTTGTGCAAAATTGTGTGTCAATGTTCCATATTTTGGGGCTTTGGTGCATCATTTACTGAAAATCGGACCAAACTATATATGGGAGCTAAATCTGAACCGATAGGGTTCATGGACAGACAGAGGGCGGACATGCATAAATCGACTCAGAAAGTGAATCTATGCATATTCTCAAAAGGAACCGTGGGTCTATCGCCTTTTTTTTGCCTGTATACCACAGAGTGGTGAAGGGTATAAAAACAATGCTTGGAACGGAACTTTGGAGGGTCATATCTCAGGAAATGTGGATTTCTGCAAGAAAAAAAGGATATCTTATATAGCTGTATCAGGGCCCTCAGAACTACGTATGGTAAACTTGACTTTTTTTAATGCACACCACACGGTAGCTTTTGACTATGTTATTACTTGCTTCCTTTTTATTTGACATTTCTTTCAAGTTATCTTTTGATAAAGATTGACTAATTACTCCCATCTCTGGCAAAACACAAACAGAAGATAATTGTTATAAAAAGGCTTTGCAAAAACTTTTGTTTACTGAGCAAAGCTTTGAAAAATAATCACAAAACAAACATGAAGAGGAGAGAGAATAAGTTTCTATTAATTTTTTGCAAAAAATATTACAATAAACAAAAACCACTTGGTATGCTGTTTTAGTGATCGCGCGATCGCGAATTCAAACAGACCATAAAGCGGATAACTGGAAAGCAGAAAGGTGACTGACTAATAAAGGAAGACATACAACACTTAATAAAGAAGAATAAAATAATTAGTGAAATAATTATAAAAAAATTAATAAATTATTTAACAGAAAAAACATCTACGGTTACCAATAACAAATATGTCACAGTAAGTAGATTTGGAAATACCAATGGAGTTACAAATAAATCCTAGCCCAATTAAATGCATTAATCGGCAAAATGAAAGTCAAGGTCAATTATGACAGAAACACAAAAAAGAACAACAACAGCAACACGAAAACAAAAACCACGATTTATAAATGATAATTAAGTAAAAAATGAAATGAAAAAATAATTAGATTTTGTTAAAAGCATATAATTGACCTTCCCTTACTTCCTCAGCTAATACCAAGATTTTCTTACAATTAAATGCCATTGTTTTTTGTTTTATTTTATAGAAAAGCTGATATAGCCTTGATTGGCCTGGCCGTAATGGGTCAAAATCTAATATTGAATATGGATTCAAAGGGTTTTGTTGTGTGTGCCTATAATCGTACTGTCGATAAGGTAATGTCTATGATTTAAAAAACTATTAGAATTTCTAATAAAAATGTCTCTGATTTTTAGGTTGACCAATTCCTTAAAAATGAAGCCAAAGGCACAAAGGTCATTGGTGCCACTTCACTGGCCGACATGGTCAGCAAGTTGAAAACTCCACGCAAAGTCATGATGTTGGTAAAAGGTGAGTGGTGAGATCGATCTACATACAAAGCAACGCAACAGTTGTCATAGCAATGTCATTACTTTTACAATTTTGAGTTTTTTGCTTAGAAATCAAAGTCAGCAGCAGAAATACTTCATTCAATATTTAGTCGTTTGTTGTTGTTGTATATTTACATGCACTTTTGTGTATGTTTGTTTGTGTGTATGCACATACTCGAATCAGAGAACCTGCATATATTGCAAAGTGTAAAAAACGCATATCATTATCAAGAGCCCCCTTATTAATCGTCGTTCATGTGGTCTTCTCTCTTCGACACACTTTTATTAACCGTATGTTATAACATTGTTAAGTAGTTGCAAATATTTTCTTTTATTTGTCATTAATTGTTGTGTGTGTTTTATATGACGAACTAAACGTCAGGCCACGATTCTCTTGATTATTGCTACGTCACTGTTTTGGTAATTATATTTAACAATAATAGGGATTTTTATTGAATCCGGTTTGAAAAAGGGCTAACCTCTAAACAAACTGCAGCTGGTGAACATATTGCAGTACATACATTTTTATAATATTGTAGTACATGGTTGGAACACAGTTTTAAAGTCTTTTCTAATAGCGCATCGAAGCATGTTTGTTCATGTGAATATTGTGGGACAAAAATGGCATATGCTTTGTGTAAAGCACGGTGGTGGATTTTTATGAAATTGTCATAGGACGTTCTAGGGCTCTGATTATAACGACATACTACATATTTTTTTGTGAAAATCTATATTTCCTGAACAATGGACCTCCAAAATTCCATTGGGGCCCTTGTATTAACAAATGTATGTTAAAATTCACAGATAATATAAGTATTAATTTGAAATATAATTATATTATAGAATAAGCCTATACTATTCAATTTAAAGTGTACATTCCCGGCAAAATGTCTGCCACACACAATAAATATTCTAGTTAATATGAGAAAGTCTATATAATTGCAATTTTGGTTGCCCATATCTAAAAAATATGGACTTACCCAGGATTTCAACCCTTTCAAATTAATATCCATATATACTTCGAAATGCATGGAAAAATCCATAGGTCTCAGCGGAACTTTGGAGGCCCATATATCGTTAATTTGCTGCAAGGCTGGTATAAATCAAAAAGTCGTTTTTTCAGAAAATGTGTTTTAAAATTTCAATTGATTCATACCTTACTCGTACAAGGAACAGATGAACTTCTACAGCTTTTCAATCACAGTGCGAAATATATATTCATCACAAATGTTTACACAACATAAAGCAATTCGGTAAAATCACAATTTTTGATTTGAAGTATGGATTTATTTAAAAATCGAAATGGGACTGGCGATACGTCGTTATAAACGATTTTGGCTGTAGGTTGGATATATCCTAGTTTATATAATAGCTATAAATGCGTGAAAATTTGGAACCGATAGCTATAAAAGCGTGAAAATTTGGAACCGATTGCAAAATTGGAACCGAATTTTTGAGTTAACGTACCCGCCATTCGTAAAAACACTATCGAGAAAAACGCATTTTTAGTTTGAGAAGCACTCCAGACGTCGCTTAATGCTGACACAATAAATCGGCTACATCTGCAAAAGTTGTTGAGAGTTTCACTTGCAATTTTATAGGCACGCTCTTGAATTATCAAAAAACTAAATAAATTTTTTTTTTTTTGAAATTTTGAAAAAGTTTTAATTTATAAGTTGCTATAGCTTTCTTGAATAATTGTACAATGGATTTACCTATAGAAAACATTTAAATATATTCTAAAAAGTTGTTCCCATTTTTTTATCACGAAACATATTTGTATAATATTGGAATACTTGGTCATTGGGCATATTTGATATATTTTCATGCATGCCCAGACTTTGGGTCAATCCCTATTCAAACTTTTAATATTTTCGGTACCGGAATATATTTTTAGTATATAATAATTTGCTTTGAATATACTTTCCAAAATGCACTCTTAGCAGTTTTTATGGTTTTAGCTCCTGGGTTATGTTACTACTGCTAACATGCCAGTCAACTTCGATCATTTCTCCGATTTTTGTGACATTTTCGACAACCGGCCTACCTGTGCGAGGTGCATCTTAAACATCAAAAATTCCTGAACGGAATCTAGGAAACCAAAATTGCACATAATTGGCTGTTACAGTATGGGAACCATAATCACAATTCACAATTTTAGCCGCTTGGCTTGCTTGTTCGCCTTTGTCGAAGAAAAACTGTAAAATGTACCAAATTTTCTCTTTGTTCACTTCCATTTTTAACACCCTGTAACTCACAACTGAATGCACCAAACAAAAAAACAGCAACATAATTTTTTTTTTACTGAGAAATGTCACCCTTCCAACGAGCATAAAACTGAAATTGTTTGATCGATACTTTACGAGAAATCTATCAGTATAAGCCGAAAAAATAATGGATTATTCTTTCCTAAACCTAATATAATAATTGCCTTAGTCACCGATATTCGTAGGGGAAAGGTATTTACTTGCTTGATATTTATTAATTCGATGGTGACCTAATTTGTTTCATAACCGTGCATAAAATGACATTGTACAATTAATAAATGCGTTTTCATATGATATTGATGTAAACATTACTTTTCCATTAGCATAATCTGGTTATCTGCGTATGTACATACATAGATACGCATATGAAAACAAGATCACGCAATTAAATGTTCGACATCAAATCTAGCTTAAGGCGAATTCTTGTTTAACTTGAACAATGTGTTAGAGACTAAATTTAAACTAATAATAATACAAGCAAAGTCCGATAGTCAATTTGTATTACAAGAAATTCTAATATACAAAGAACTATTTGCGAAATTGATTTAAGGCTCTTATTTCCGCCATACATTTCATGTATGAATCACTAGAGTTAAACTTAAAAAAAGAGACATCTGAACCTACATCTGACGGAATTGCTTTCGCATTGCAACGCACTGTCAGTGGTGCAAAAGCAATTCTTCCAAATTCACCGATTCTTCTAGTACAGAATCATGTTCATGGATTTCTTTCCATTAAGTGGCCCTGTTGTATGACGCTTGTGTGATCTTTTATATAAAGACGGAAGACCCTTTTAAAGTCATATACAAATTGAATTTCCTCATGAGGTCTTCAATAAATTGAAACACATTACTTCAATAGCCAGGATACCGTTTATACTTCTAATGATAGAATGACATTGTGAGGTCTTATAAGATCTTGTGTACCTAGTTCCACAAAATGACTCAACTACACTTTGATCCATTCGCTATTAAACTCTTCCAAATATTTTTTCAAATACAATGTTTTGTATAGAATTTAACCGCGTTTTATCTGAGCCAAATAACGTTATATGCGGTGTCCCGCAAGGATCTATTTTATCACCGCATTAATACAGCATTTTTATTCATGCTATATGCTCACGATGAATCACTCCAAACTGCGTTAAATAAAGTAAAACATCACTTACAGAAAGTAGATCAATTTTATTTTAATTGGGGTATTAGTATTAATCCTTCCAAAACCGGGGCCATTTGTATACGAAATGTATCCGGGAAATGTAGAAAAACTGTCTTCTACAAATAGAAGACACTTATGTGGTATTCTACATATTGAGGGTTCTCTATAGTCTATTGAAAGCACTTAAGAACCTTTAAAAAATTTACCCTGGTAGGAATTTCTACAGACGAATTTCTAGAGATAGAAGGCCCTTACAAGGTATTTTTTCATATAGAAGACCCTTTTTAGGTCTTCTACAGACATATAATGATTTGAAATCTTCATTTCTTCATTCTTTATGATATGTTCTATATATAGCCCAAAGTCCATTATGAGGTTTCTTATAGATTGATATTTAGTTTAAGGCCATTAAATACCGAAAATGTCATCCGGTTTTGAAAAATCTATTTACTAATAAAATGTTCTTATTGTTTTTCTCTTCCTCCTTTTGTAGCTGGCCAAGCGGTAGACAGTTTTATACAACAACTTGTGCCCCTCCTCTCACCGGGTGATGTTATTATCGACGGTGGAAATTCGGAATATTTGGATACGGCTCGTCGTTGTGATGAATTGAAAGAAAAGGGTATTTTCTTTGTTGGTTCTGGTGTTAGTGGTGGCGAGGAGGGTGCCCGTTATGGACCTTCCCTTATGCCCGGTGGTCATCCTGAAGCATGGCCTCTAATAAAGCCTATATTCCAGGCGATTTGTGCAAAAGCTGGCAATGAACCATGCTGTGATTGGGTGGGTGAAGGTGGTGCTGGTCACTTTGTTAAAATGGTCCATAATGGCATCGAATACGGCGATATGCAGTTGATTTGTGAAGCTTATCATATAATGACAAGTTTGGGTTTGAAACCGGATGAAATTGCGGCACAATTCGATAAATGGAATAGTGAGGAATTGGATTCATTCCTTATTGAAATTACGGCAGATATTTTGAAATATAAGGATGATAAGGGCTACTTGTTGGAACGTATACGTGATACAGCTGGTCAAAAGGGTACCGGTAAATGGACAGCAATTGCTGCTCTGCAATATGGTATACCGGTGACACTAATTGGCGAAGCGGTATTTTCACGTTGCTTGTCCGCGTTGAAGGATGAACGTGTGGCAGCCAGTAAGCAATTGAGTGGACCAAATACCCCCATTAAAGTGGATAATCTCAAGGAGTTTTTGAATGATATAAAACATGCTTTGTATTGTGCGAAAATTGTCTCCTATGCTCAGGGTTTTATGTTGATGCGTGAAGCAGCCAATGTCAGTAAATGGAATTTGAATTATGGTGGTATTGCTTTAATGTGGAGAGGTGGTTGTATTATAAGGAGGTAAGCGGGTTTAGATAAAAATTTGATTGTATAATACCGATAATTGTTTCTGGTTCTTTTGCAGTGTTTTCTTGGGCAACATTAAAGAGGCCTATGAAAAGGATCCCAAATTAACAAATCTCCTGTTGGATCCATTCTTTAAAAAGGCTATTGCCACCGGGCAGAATTCATGGCGTCAAGTTGTGTCCAAGGCCTTTTTATGGGGTGTCCCAGTACCTGCCTTATCTACGGCTTTATCATTCTATGATGGCTATCGTTCGGAACGTTTGCCAGCCAATTTACTGCAAGCTCAACGTGATTATTTCGGTGCTCACACCTATGAACTATTGGGTCAAGAAGGTAAATTTGTACATACCAATTGGACCGGAACTGGTGGCAATGTATCGGCCAGTACCTATGATGCTTAAGGATATAACATTTCAAAAGAAAGCAACTCGAATGTGTGTTTCTACAGGGGGATTTTCTTTATAAATTATAATCTAGAATTATATCGATTCATTCATAATAATTGTTATTATTCATTTTTTTTTTCCACTTACCCACCCACTTTGTTAATTGGTTACATTCCGCTAACGTATATTGTTAAATATATATTTTTGTATAATACGATGTATAAATTCTTTTTATATATATATGAAAAAATAAATCATATAAAAAAAGTTTTAGATTTTCGTTTCTTTTTTTATTTATTTAAAATCTTAACAATAAACTATGTACTTTAATAGTTTTCTTTTTTCTTTTCATATTCGTTTTCATACAAAACAGTTCTTATTTTTGAGAAATGCAAAAAACAAAACAAGCCAAAAGTTTTTACTATCATTTAACATAAGACGCGACTACTTCTTAACAATTTTTGTTGTGGAAACGGCGACGAAGGGCAGGCAGCAGCATTTTAATCATCCGAGTGTTTTAGTCTCTTCTTGTTTTCGATAACCAATTTTTCTGCCGAATATAGATGTCCAATGATGGCCTGAAAGATATAAATTAAATTTGTAAATTATTTTACTGGTTCGTAACAATTGCCAAAGGTGTTTCATTATTTATAACCAATTTTCGCACGAACTAAGCTACAATCCTGTATTTTGATTTGGTTGTTTTTCTCTCCCACTTTATAGCCGGACAAGCGTTAAAGAGTTTTATACGACTTGGATACATTCATCTCACCAGGAGATGTTATTATTGATGGTGGAAATTCTGAATATTTGGATACGGCTCGTTGTTGTGATGAATTGGAAGTAAATGGTATTAACTTTATAGGCTATGGTGTTGGTGGTTGTGCTTATCAAATCATAAATACTAATTCCGTAAGGAATTACTCTCATTTCATTTTCCTTCACTCATCAACAAAAATTCAGCAAGGAAAATCAATCTTCAAAGAAAAAAGTAGGTAGTACCATGAACGCAAACTGACGGGAATTGGTAAAACCGATTTTTTTGGAATAAATTTTAATGAAAACTTATAGTCAACACTTTTACTAGATTTTTAATTTCGATTTATTTTCATTAATGGGAACCTAGCCACAAGGTCATGATCGGTTCCTGAAACCGCTATACATCTACTATTCCAAAATCTTAAACCTAACAATAGATTTATCTTTAAATTATAACATTAAATCACAGCAGGGTATATAAAAAATAATTAAGTAAATCAGCTATGCAACAACAATATCATGACAAGTAATATGAATGTCTTGAGACCCTGTCGTAAACCATTGAATACTCGAGCAATTCTTAAATGAAAGGATTTTTCCACACAGAGGGGGTCAAACGAGGAACATGGATTTGTGTATTCCTTACAGGCTTATTAAATGAAAGCAACTGCAATCTCTACCTTTCCGGTATTCCACGCCCTTCGGACGGCATAGAAATCGTTACATATGTAGATGACTGAACGATCGTGGTGTCGGGTCCTATTGTTGAGGACATATGTGTGAGGTTAAACACCTATCTTGCCGAATAAATAGCCTTCTTTAAAGTGAGGAATATAAAAATATCAGCCACGAAGTCGATAGCTGCACTATTCACCACATGAACTGCGGAGATGAGAATGCCATTGAATGTGCAGGTCAAGGGGCATAAAATTCCGACCACTAACTACCCAAAAGTACTCGGGGTCACATTCGACAGCATGTTTAAATCGTCCGCACAAACCACAGTTATTTGTAGTAGTTTAGTCCAATTACGTTCAGGATGGTGCAGTCGTCTCAACATTCGTCTCGTATTGGGCACGAATTGATGACCAGCATTTGGTACGGGCCTTATACCACACTTCACACATTCAATTGCCCAGTTTATGGATTATAGTTTTCCCATGTTTAACTGCCGTGTTGTTGGGTGGACTTTACGCAAGAGTTGAATATACCTACTTTTGTTTTAACTATATTTGCGAGGACCGCCATGTTTTGCTCAATCTGGCAAAAGCGGCTCGCGTCTTGCTGAGTCGGTTGTTTACGATCATCGTCGAGTCCTCTATCATTTGCCATTATACTCGACTCATCGAAGTATTTATTCAGACCTCATATTTCATTGGGCCAAATTCGTTTCGGATAATTTTAAGCCCATTTATAAATCCGTATGTCTGTCATGCAAACTTAGCACATCGTAATATTTCTTCCAAAATTTGTTTAAGTTTGCAGATTGCTCCACTCCATCTGGTACCTCACCCACAAATGGTGAACATTTTCAATATTTATAAATCCAATATCTGGCGAATTAAAAATGAATGTCCAATTTGAACCAAAATTTGCATTATCTTTACCATGCCTAGATCAAGACCTTCCCCACAAAAGGTTAATATTTCATAAACCTCTTAGATAGAAACATATAAAATTAGAAACAAACATATAAAGTGAATAATAAAGGCTTTGTATAATTCCGAAGACCTCTGCAAAACATATGCTGAAGGTATTTATCTGTCGACAACACCGACTGACTTTTTTACAATTTGTAAATTGCATTTGCATGTTTGTGAAAAGCTATTCAGGATAAAGACAAAAGATATTCGGATTAGTGGTGGACGGATGCTGATGAATCCGGAATTGGGTAAATCAACTATTTCATTCAAAAGAAACTGTTCATGTCCGATTATCTCATAACTTGTATTTCCTTCAATAAGGACATTTTCACAATTGCCCAAAAGATACCGCACAATAAATATTTAAAAATGTTGCCCTTCCCTACCCTCGCAAGCCAATAATCAAATGTTGTCAAAGGTTGTGTTAACGAGTTCTTCTAGGATAATATTTTTTTCTTCGTGGGTGGCAATTATATCTGCAGTTATTGAATGTAGACTTGTTTGTTTTTTCTGGTTTTTTGTTCTTTCAATTAAGATTTCCATTACGCTTTATTTTGTGAAAAGACAAGGCTGAGGCCTGAGGATTATATTCAGATCCAGTCAGCCTTTGGTTAGATCGGAAGTGAAGATAAGTGGAAAGTGGCCGTATGGAATGGCATAAGTTTAGTAATTTTCCGAGTTCTGCTTATCTTAAGGCCCCAGATTGGGAGAGAAACATCAGTATCCTCCTAGAAAAAATCTGTTGGAGAGCTAAAGCGTTATTTTGTCACAGATTATCAATTTCGTGGTAATTCCAACATATAATACATTCGAAATTTCTGGACTTTAATTGATGTGGCCTGTATCGATCAATTTCGCTGGTCCCTTGACTGTCTTTATAAGAAGACTGAATTTTTGCCAACAACGTATTCTTTATGGATTAAATTTGACTTGTTTATATCCGATACTATTTCACAAATAGCACCTTCATTTTCATCAATCAATGCAATTGTCACACATCAGGCACACAAACTCACCTGTCTTCTTAGCATTTCCAAACTCTGTTTGGCTGTGGCAATCTCCATATCGATTTGTTGAAAATCATTGATGGTCTTATTAGTTTGGAATGTGTCGCGTATTTTACGAATGGCATACAATCTAAAATTGAAGAATTTCATTACAGATTTCCAAAATACAAATTGTATGTTTTGCACTCAACACCATATTGAGGAGATAACAAAACAAAATAATTTTCACACCACTTACCTGAAATTATATGAAGGTAATTTTTCAGCTTCCCGCAATAGCTGTCGATACAGGGACTTGGCTAAGCGTCTGGTGGACATTATTTAATTATAAATATAATTTATTTAAAAATGATTTTATTTTGATATTTCTTCTTTCTTTTCCTTGCCGACAATTGCATAAATTGCTTTGCTTACACCGATAACAGCTGATCGATAGGTAACTATAAATCGTTATTTGGTTAAATGTGACATTTGCACATTTGTAATAGGGTACACCAGGGCGAATAACAAATAACAAGTAATTGAAGGAAACTTGGGAGTGTGTCTCAAATATTTATTTGACATTGGTTTTTTAATCTATTACAATTACCGTTGTTTTGTATCCAATCCCAATCAACCCTTAAAATGATTGAAGAGTTCTTTCTCTCTCCTCCTATTACTGTTATATGGGAATGAGAGTACACTTTCACAACTGTCAAAACAGGAGAAAAATAACCATACTTGAAAAATTGATTTTTTTCTTCGTCGTCGTCGTCAAGCTGTAGTAGTGAAAATCATTTGGAATTTTTAAATCAAATTGGCCAAAAAGTGTATCGAAAATGTTGAAAAATTTATAATGCAACGGGACAAAGGAACCTCTCAACTATGAATACCACAGATTGTGAAAAAATTGTGTGTAAATTTGCCAAGGAGCTACAATTCGAGGCAAAGAAATTCGATGAAGGTTTTGTTGAACAAAGCAAAGATGATGTTGTCCTGTTAACGTTAGAAGCAGCAGAAGGTGTTAATGGAGTGGTGGTGGGTGGTAGAGAGGCCGACAACGGCAAGGTTGATGACGACGACACATTTATGACCACAAAAGAAGACCTCGAAAACGAAACGCAAATAACAGCGACAGACGACGATTTGAAGCCTGGAACGGGTACCAGCTGTTGTGAAAATTCCCAAGAAATGAAAGACGGGGCAGGCTTAGAAGACTTTGCCAATTTTTCACAAATGACAACAACTCAAAGTGAACTTCCCAAATCAACAGATTCCACAACAAATGTTGTACTTTCACCACCACCCGCACCTGTACCCACAACCACACCACCGCAACAATCAGTTACACATGACAACCCCACTCTGGATGTTTCTTTGGAATTTGGTCCTGGAGATTTTGATGATTCCTTGCAGCCTTTAAGTGAACGTTGGTCTCCCTTAGGGGCTAACTATGATGATGCTGTTACACCCTCTTCGGAATTACTTAGCCCGGAATCTGAATTGGAATTGCTAAGTCAATCCGATGTTAGCCAAGAAAAACAAGATTTCTCACACCAAGGTGAAGATGCCATGGAAATTGCCCGTCTAAAAACTCTAGAAGAAGAACAAGAAATGCTAACATCCTCGTTGATGGCTTTAACTTCTCACTTTGCCCATGTCCAGTTAAGGGTGCGACAAATTGTGGAAGCCCCGCCCCATGAAAGAGATCAACTGTTAAAGGACCTAGAAGAATTTGCCTTTCAGGGTATACCGGATCAATCAAATATTTCCGCACTAAGTCGAACAGCAAGTCGTTGTGGTTCTTCGCTGTACAACGCCAACGACGAAAGTCAACGACAATTCGAGCTAATCGAACAATTAAAGACGCAACTAACTGAATTGGAAAAAATAGCCTATGAATCGGGTGCACCGGTTCTGCCACAACATATCCTTTTGGAAAAACAAAAAATCATCATTGATGAACTTAAAACCAAACTCAATTTTAAGGTAGATGAACAAAAATTACCCGAGCTTACCGCCGAAGAACTTAAATCGCAAGTAGACAATGCCATTGGTGAATTTGTGGGCCCCCTGAAGATGAAGGAACAATTGGTGGCCCAGTTGAAGACACAAATTACGGACTTGGAAAGATTTATTGCATTTCTACAATGTGACACCGATGAGAGTAAATTGAAAACCCTTACCACGGGTGGTGAGAAATTAAGTGAAGCCTACAATAGCTATTCGGCTAAAAAGAAAAAGGATTCACTGAAATCCGACAAAGACCCGAAGGTGGCATTAGTAAATGGTGATGACAAAACTGAGGGTATTATAATACCTTTGTGAAGGGAATTTGTTTTAATTTTTTTGTCTTTTCTTCTCGTAGATATCCGAGGAAATTCCTCGACAGCCACATCAGCGGCGACTCGTGAAAGTTTGCATCATAAGGCCCATAGTTTAATGGATAAAGCTTCGCTGCTAATGCAAATGTTTGCTACCACTCATTTTGGTGCTAAGCCGGAGGAGTTTCAAAAGAATACCCTTAAGAAGACAAACAAGGGTAATCATTGGGGGTAAGTTGAAAAAAATTTGGAATGAGGTTCATTGATGGAGTGTAGAATAGATATAGCAAAGGGTTCTTTTGACATTCGAACTATAAGTATCCGAAAAGCACTAAAATGCACTAAAGTTGGTACAATTTTGTGGCAAGTGAATGGATAGAGCTATAAATTTGAAATTTGGAATGCAAATAAAAGTTGAGAAGTAGGATCCGATATAAGAAGGTGATTTTGAAAGCGTGTACTCATGTATACGAAAAGTACGATATGGTACTATATTTGGTACAATTTTTAATTGGAGGTACAAAGCTGAAGCTAGAAACCTGAAATTTGAAATTAACATTACCGTCGGTGTGTAGTATTGAGATATGTACGTAGTTTTGGAATTTTTTACATATGTGTACGAAAAGTACTGAGTCGTACTATAATTGGTACAATTTCGATTTGGTTGAACCAATAGAGCTGGGATCCTGAAATTTGGAGTTATTATCATTGTTGGGGTGGGGGAAGTTGTAGGGAATTTTGAAAATTCGTACTAATGTGTACTATATTGTACAAAATTTGGGGTTGGGTGAACCGATAAAGCTGGAATCTTAATATTTGGAGGTAGGATCACTGTTGGAGGTTGAATTGAGCTATTTAGGAAGTTTTGGAAATTCCTCCTACTAATATCAACTAAATTTTGTACACCTTATGTTTTGGGTGAATCGATGTATGAAGTTTTGTAAATTTGTACTAAATGGTACCAAATGTGGATTCGGGTGAACCGATTGAGCTGGAATCTTGAAATTTTGATGTTAGGATCACTGTTAGATTTGTAAAAAGTTTTGGAAATTCGTACTAAAGTGTACTAAATTTGGTACAATTTTAATTTTTGGCGAACCAATAGAGCTGGAAACCTTGAAATCTGGAAATAAGGTTAATGCTGGAGTGTAATTTTGGAAATAAGTAATATGGTACTAAATTTGGTACAACTTAAATTTTGAGAGAACTGGTAGAGCTCGGATCCTGAAACTTGGATTTAGGATCATTTTTGGGGTGCAGAAAGTATTGGAAATTCGTACTAATATGTACCGATAGAGCTCGAATCTTAAAATTTGATGTTAGTATCACTGTTGGGGTGTAGGATTGGGCTATGTAGAAAGTTTTGGACATTCGTACTAAGGCGTACTAAATTTTGTACAATTTAAATTTTAAGTGAACCAATACAGCTGGAATCCTGAAATTTGGAGTAAGGGTTATAGTTGGCGTGTATGATTGGGATATGAGACAATTTTGGAAATTTGTACTAATGTGTACCAAATGGCACCAAACGTCGATTTGGGTGAACCAAAAGAGGTGGAAGAGTGAGTAATTTGTACTAAATTTGGTAAAATTTGAATTTTGGGTGAACTGGTGGAGCTGGGATCATGAAATTTGGTGTTAAGATCATTCTTGTTTTGTAGGATTGGGGTATTTAGGAAGTTTTGGAAATTCGTAGTAATGTGCACTAAATGGTATCAAATTCGGATTTGAGTGAGCCGATAGAGCTCGAATTTTTAAATTTGGGGTGTAACATTGTATTGTGTAGAAAGTTTTGGAAATTCTTACTAATGTGTACTAAATTGTACCAAATGGTGGTTAGGATCAGTGTTGAGGTGTTGAATTGAGTTTGGAATGGCTCATGTTAAGTTTTGTAGAAATCGATTCAGATTTGGATATACCTCCGATTTAATCTAAATGGTGCAACGAAGACCCTACATTTGATTGATTGAGATGAAATCGGATTGAGTTTAGAAAGACTTGTGTTAGGTTAGGTTAAAAAGAGGGGTGGATGATACCACCACATGTCCGACATGAGAAGGACATACCAGGGACGTACGCACGGTAAATTTATGTTTGCAACAGCGATTTTTTTCATTTTGTACTAAGTTTTGTTGAAATCGATTCAGATATAGATATAGCACCCATATATATTTTCGTCCGATTTTATTCAAATTGTGCACAAAAGACCCTACATTTATTCGATGGACAATAAATTTTGTCAAGCGTACCCAATTAAGTCTGTAAAGACGTGTGTTAAATTTTATTGAAATCAGTTCAAATTTGGATATAGTCCGATTTCATATAAATGGCGCACCAAAGACTCTGCGTCTGTTCGATTGACAGGACATTTTGCACAGAGCACCAAATTGAGCCTAGTAAGACTTGTGTTATGTTTTGTGCAAATCGGTTCAGATTTGAATAAATCAAATTTGTTTAGACTGCTCCAGATTCCAATGGTAAATGGTACCCAAAAGTCCCGAAGACTACGCGATTGGAATGAAATTTTGCGGGAATGGATTTTGTATGGATTGATTAATTCGGTTTAGATATATTTATTTTTATCTGGCTTCTCGTCAAGGAGCGACCAAACACGCTACGCCTACACGATCGACTCGATACTGTTCTCATACAGGCAACATCATCAGACAGGAACATTTGGTGGAATGGGATTAAATTACATATCGTAGATCCCAATAATAATATGATTAGTCGCTCTTGTATATACCCATGGTGTTCTAGGGTAGAATATAGTCAGTTCCGCCGATTTGAGTCTTTGTCTGATATGGGTCCATGCTTTTTGTCCCAAAAATATTTTTCTGATACCAATTAATTCTCTATTTTTCTTACATTCCATTCTATAGTGACTTACGTGCCCAGCTGGAAGTGGATATCCAAGAGGTCGCCTCACTGGCAGCAACCCTGAATTTTGATCGTGAAAAATTGGCAAAACTACGGAAATCTATGAAAAAAGCTAAATCCGCCGATGTTGCCACATGCCAACCGACAACATCCGCAGCTAACGGAATGCTAACCACAATCCCTCCAAGAGCAACAAGGAATGGCATTAAACCACACTATCGCAATCAAATTAAACCCTATCAAGTATCATCCGATTCCGATGATGATGATTACGATATGAATGACTATTACAATTGGCAACAACAGAATAATCGAAGAATGGCCCATTGTGCCCGGGTGCGAGGCGACACCATAAACACACTTAACAAAGAGCTGACGGCAGCGGTGAGGAAAAATTTCGCAATGACATTGCTGAAGTTGATACAGCATGGTCTAAGGGTCGAGTCATCGCCGCAAATGACATCAAGTCTTATTGTACCTTTCATGCGCTGCCTTAATCCGTCCCCCGTTTTTATGGCCGAACATGGCTTTCGGGCACGTGACTGTGATGCCGGGTCATTTTTATCGTCATTTTCGTCGTCGTCGGCAGCATTTGGTTATGATGATGTTGAGGGAATGGATACCAACGGTGGCGGTACACATTGGCCAGATGTGGATAATGGCAGTAATGGTGGCGGACTGTTTTCCAGCGGCACAACAAGGCCCATGCATGCATGGGAATTAATATTGGAATATTATTATTTGAAGCATGGCGATGAGTACAACAACACACCGGCAAGGAAATTGTCACAGAGTTTTAATTTGGACATTGTCAACTCTCAGGCGGTGACGGCGAAGCAGAATCTACTTAGCACCGTGGGCAGTATTATTGCCATGCATCGCCCGTACAAGAGAAGTTACAATGCACATTTTAAGGCATTTGTGTGTGCTGGTTTAAAGTGAGTAGATGAGATGCTAATGGTGGAATTTTATTTAAAATATGTTTTTTTATTTACAGTTCCCATCAATTGGTCGAGTGGTTGAATCTGATTTTTAGCTGTAACGATTTGGTCGATAATTATTATATGACAAATAGTTATGTTGCCTGTACGGGATTCCGTGATGCATTACGTTCCATTGATGTCTTAACCAAATATGATTTTGATTTACCTGTTGATTTGGCTGTGCGACATTTTCGTAATTTATAAATTAGTAGTATTTTTAATTTTGGTTTATTGACCGCTTGTGTGGAGAGTGATGAGAGGTATTAATGCGTGAATTTTGGAGGATATCGTAACTAATTAGATTGAGTAGGCACTGGCTAGAATATCTTCATTGGCATGATTATATGGGTCCTTTAAAAAATCCACGCCTTGAATGGTCCTTGAAAATTATTCTTTAAAAAATCCGCGCCTTGAATGGTTTTAGGAAAATATTCTTTAAAAATCTACGCCTTGAATGGTCCTTGAAAATTATTCTTTAAACAATCCGCGCCTTGAATGGTTTTAGGAAAATATTCTTTAAAAATCTACGCCTTGAATGGTTTTTGGAAAAATATTATTTATAAAATCCAAGCCTTGGACAGATCTTGAAAAAATATTCTTTATAAAATCCACGACTTGGACAGTTCTTGAAAAAATATTCTTTATAAAATCCACGCCTTGGACAGTTCTTGAAAAAATATTCTTTATAAAATAAACGCCTTGGACAGTTCTTGAAAAAATATTCTTTATAAAATCAACGCCTTGGGCAGTTCTTAAAAAAAAAAAACATTCTTTAAAAAATCCAGACTTTGGATGGTCCCTGAAAAAATAATTTTTAAAGAATCCAGGCTTTAGATTGTCCCTGAAAAATAATCTTTAAAAAAATTAGGCTTTAAATGGCCCCTGAAAAAATAATCTTTAAAGAATCCAGGCTTTGGATGGTCCCTGAAAAAATATTCTTTATAAAATCCACGCCTTGGACAGTTCTTGAAAAAAAAACATTCTTTGAAAAATCCAGGCTTTGGATGGTCCCTGAAAAAATAATATTTAAAGAATACAGGCTTTAGATTGTCCATGAAAAATAATCTTTAAAAAAAATTATGCTTTAAATGGTCCCAGATAAAATAATCTTTAAAGAATCCAGGCTTTGGATGGTCCCTGAAAAAATAATCTTTAAAAAATCCACGCCTATATGGGTTGTTGAAAATATTCTTTAAAAAATCCACGCCTATATGGGTTGTTGAAAATATTCTTTAAAAAATCCACGCCTATATGGGTTGTTGAAAATATTCTTTAAAAAATCCACGCCTATATGGGTCGTTAAAAAATATTTTTTAAAAAAATCCAGCCTTTATGGGTCGTTGAAAAAATATTCTTTAAAAATCCACGTCTATATGGGTCCTTGAAATAATATTCTTTAAAAAATCCACGCCTATATGGGTTGTTGAAAAAATATTCTTTAAAAATCCTCATCTATATTTGTCGTTAAAATATTCAGAATGAATATCCTTTAAAAAATTTTCGCCTTAAATGGTCCTTGAAAAAATATTCTTTAAAAATGCAGGCCTTTGGTGGCTCTCATATTTTTAAATAGTATTATCATGAGTCTGGGTCCGAATTTTTTTTTAAATTCGTTTCTACAAAATTTTTAGATAATTAAATTAGTACCACAATATTCTACATGTCAGGCACTCCTTCACTCATCCACACAAGCGACTCATAATTGTATTCCATACATCTAAGCTAATGTGCAATATTGAAACAAAAATGTCAGCTCTATATAAAAAAGGATTTATCAATTGATGTTTAGGTTAACTAATTGAAAACAAAATTATGAATACCGATTTTTTTGTTTAATGAAATATATAACAAAATATTCCAAAATAAATAAAAAATTAGCATAAATAAACATACCAACCTTATATAAAAATATTTATATATACATATATATATATATATATATATATATATATATATTAAAAAATAAATATATAAAACGCTCTAGTCATAATTTATTTATTATTTTTGTTTTTAAATGTACATTTTAAAGAAAACCAAAGAAAGGAAAAAAAAACCAAACGCATGGACAATAGTCCTCTAAATTTTTGCCCATTTTCTATCCATTTACATGCATAACTACATAGGCTATACATATGTACTTATATTTGAATGTATTATAGTAAAACCAAAAAAGAAAAAAAATCCAAATCCCTTTATCCTTCTTTTTAATCCTCAAATTAATAATAAAATAAATTACTAAATAAATAAAAAATAAATATCACTATAACAGTTATAGAATATAATCTACAAGAAATAAGGAAAGTGTTTTATTTAAGTAATGGTCCTTGAAAAATCCTTACTTACTTAGCTGACTTATGACAGAACGGTTGTTCCATAAGCCGAGCTTAAAAAAGATTTCCAGGCGCGTCAGTTTTGTGCGCATCTTATCCAATTTGAAAGACCATTTTCCGAGATGTTGCCCTCTACTTGATCTTTCCATTGGATTCGTGGCCTACCCCTTCTACGTGAACCACCACATGGCTCGCTTTTATATGCTTTTTGAGCTGGGGCATCTTCATTAATTCTCACAACATGACCTAGCCAACGTAGTTGCTGCAGCTCAATAACGTCTAACAATGTCAATGTCCGAGAATAGCTGGTACAACTCATGGTTCATTCGGAGAATTTTCGTTTGGAGAATTTTTCTCTCAATCACTCCAGGAGCTGCCTCATCTGTTTGCGTAAGTACCCATGCTTCAGATCCATATAACAGCACGGGTATTATCAGCGTCTTGTAGAGTGTGAGTTTGGTCTTGCGGGAGGTGGCCTTGCTTTTGAGTTGCTTACTCAGACTGTTGGCCATCACAATCCTTCTCCGAATTTCAAAATGTTTTATTTATGACGGTACTAAGGTATATAAAATCTTTAATTACCCCGAATCTGTAGTTCTCAAGTTCCACAGTTGGTCCGAGTCTACTGGACGCGGTACGCGTTGATACACCAGCTTGATCTTCCGCCGTTTACTGCCAGACCTACTTTGGTCCCACTATACATTGCGAGCGGTATCAGCCACCTTTGAACAAATTGAGAAGGAGTCTGCCTTCTCAATTTGTTCTGCCGTCGATGTCATCGGCATAGGCGAGTAAAATGTTTTGTTTGGTATACAGAGTGCAATTTCTGTTCACATTTGCCTTTCGTATAACCTTTTCCAGCAGGATGTTAAACGGGTCACACGACAAACTGTCACCTTGTCTGAATCCTCGTTTGGTATTGAAGGGTTCCGAGAAATCCTTTTCGATTTTAACCGCTGACCTTGTGTCAGTTAAAGTTATCATGCATAGCCGTATTTATTTTACAGAAATGCCGAACGTAGATATGGTTTTAAACAACTCAGAACGAATAGGACTGTCGAATTATGGCTTTACAGTCGATAAATAGGTGGAAAGTGTCGATGTGTTCTTCGTGGTTCTTTTCCAGGATTTGGCGCAGAGTGAAAATCTAGTCAATGGTGAATTTGTCAGGCCTGAAACCGCATTGGTATGGCCCAATATTGTCATTGAACATTGGCTTCAGTCGTTCACACAGTACGCTGGATAGCACTTTATATGCGATGGGAAGGAGACTTATTCGCCGATAGTTGGCACATATCGTCTTAACTCCTTTTTGGTCCACTAGACACAGGATGCTTAGGTTCCCATCATTGGGCATGCACTCCTCTAGCTTAATTCTTCAAATCAGCTGGTGCATGCTCCTGACCAGCATCTGACCACCCGTCTTGAATAGTTCGGCTGGTAACCCGTCGGCTCCTGCTGCTTTATTGTTCTTGAGCCGATTAATTGCTTTTATGACCTCATCTTGGCACTCTATACCATCAACTCTTCTTCATCACCACTATTTGATAACTGAAGCTTTTCAAAGTGCTCCTTGCAGATCCTCACCACGCCGTATGTATCTGTCACCAGGTTTCCTACTTCATCTCTAAAGGAGGGTGTGCCTGCACCAAAACTTTCGGTTTGGTGTTTTACTCGTTGGTAAAATTTCCGGACTTTATTCTGACTCCTGTACATCTGGATTTACTCACGCTCACGTTTTTCTTGTTCTTTTTTCTGAAAACACGTTTCTCCTCTCTACATCACATTACGTGTTGCTACTGTCTGCAGGGTTGCCCTATACGCTGTGTTTTTTTCACATCAGTAGCATTACTATACTCCTAATCCTTCTATACTATTATCGGGACAAGAAGTGTCTTCGTCAAGCAGATGGGTAAGTTGAGCGGAGTAGGCCTCCGCTACCTGTTGTGTTTGCAGCTTTTCGAAGTCGAGTTTCCGTTTTACATTAGATCGCACCTTTGCTGCAACATTAAGACGAGTGCGAACCTTGGCTGCTACAAGGTAGTGGCCCGAATTGATATTCGCTCCTCGGATCGATCGAACGTCTAATACACTGGATGAAAGCCTTTCGTATATCACAAAATGATCAATTTGATTTCTCGTTGCTTGATCAGGAGAAATCCTGGTTTTGTTTATATCGAGATGCTTGAATCTGGTGCTGCGAACTACCATGTTTTTTGCTGCGGCGAAGTCAATCAACCTCATGCCGTTGTCGGATGTTTCTTCATGGAGGCTGAATTTTCCGACGGTGGGGTCAAAGATATTTTCCCTTCCGATTTTTGCATTCAAATCTTCTAGCAGAATTTTAATGTCATGACAAGGGCAACGTCATATGCTGTTTCTAGCCGCTCATAAAATATGTCAAAAATCAACGCCTGGGATGGTCTTTGAAAAAAATATTCTTTAAAAAATCAACGCCTGGATGGGCTTTGAAAAAATAGACGCCTTCCATGGCCCTTGAAAAAAATATTCTTTTAAAATTTACCCCTTAGATGGTCTTAGAAAAAATATTCTTTAAAAAAATATTCTTTGAACAAATATTCTTTAAAAAATCCTTGGGTGGTCCTTAGAAAAAATATTCTTTAAAAAATGACGTCTTGGATGGTCTTTAAAAAATATTCTTTTAAAAATCCTCGACCTGGATGGTCCTTGAAAAACTATTATTTAAATATCAACAATTTTCCAAAATTTAATTTTTATATATTTAAATTTATTTTAACATTTTATATAAATATCTAATAACAAATCATTCACTTATCGTGGGCACATGGCATGCTTGCCACCATCAACTGGCACCAAGGCACCAGTTATAAAACTGGCTTTACTGCTGGCCAAAAATGCAATAGTTTCAGCTACCTCGAAGACATTACCCACCCTACCCATGGCATGGGTATCTTTGCAGCGTTCCAAATAATCGGCATATTCCTTTTCCGACATGCCACCACCACGTTTGTGGATCTCCGTTATAACCACACCAGGATTCACCGAATTCACGCGAACATTTTGTTTGGCCAATTCCAGGGAAAGATTCTTTGTGAATTGATCCAAAGCAGCCTTGGAGACACCATAACTGAGAGCACCGGGAAACGAACGTAGACCAGCTACACTTGAAACATTTACAATATTTCCTTGCGTATTAATCAGATAGGGCACGGACAGCTTGCTCAGTGTGAACACAGCACGTACGTTGGTATTCAGTACATTATCAAATTGTTCAATATCGATGTCCATTAGGCCACCTGCCGCCAAAATACCAGCATTATTCACTAAAATATCCAATCTCTGGAATTTTCCAATAACCTCATTGACGATCCGTTCAGCATCGGTGGTCACATCGGCAACAATAGAGAGGCAGATGATATCGGCATTGGCAGCTTTACATTTTTTCTCAGTTTCTTTAAGGTTTTCGGGATTACGTCCCACTATGGCCACATTAGCTCCATACTTGGCCAAGGTTTCGGCGGTGGCAGCACCAATGCCCGAACTGGCGCCAGTTATTAAAGCAACTTTACCGGTGAAATTCATTTTATCAACTGAATCCGCCACCTTTTGCCGGTTAGGAATGCATGGAATTACAAGTGTTTGAATTCTTATCACTGAGACGATGAGGCGAGATATTTGCTTTACGCACTGATAAGATTATTGGAGTGTAAAACAAAAACAAACTAAAAACTATAAATGTGGTTGAAGTGATTTTTTTTTGCAATGTTTGTGCCGTCTTCTAATTGGAAAAGTAATCCAATACTACACCGATTCCATTGTAAATTGGAATGTTCAATTCATAAAGTTCTAGACGGTTCTGCTGCAGAATAATGGTAAACTAATCGCTCTCTTTAGTTTTCTATGCTATCAGGGATGGGAACTTTGAATCAGATATATAAGGATTTTTTAAAAAATATTTTTCAATGACATCGATTTTTTAAGAATATTTTTTCAAGGGTCATCCAAGGCGTGGATTTTTTAATGAATAGTTTTTCAAGCACCATCCAAGGCCACTTCAATGATTAATACAGGCGTGGATTTTTTAAGAATATTTTTTCAAGGGTTAATAAGCCGTGTCTGTTTTAAAGAATTAACACAGGCGTGGATTTTTTAAAAACATAATACAGAAGTGGATTTTTTAAAGATTTTTTTTTCAAGGACCATCCAAGGCGTGGATTTATTAAAGAATATTTTTTCAAGGACCATCCAAGGCGTGGATTTATTAAAGAATATTTTTTCAAGGACCATCCAAGGCGTGGATTTATTAAAGAATATTTTTTCAAGGACCATCCAAGGCGTGGATTTATTAAAGAATATTTTTTCAAGGACCATCCAAGGCGTGGATTTATTAAAGAATATTTTTTCAAGGACCATCCAAGGCGTGGATTTATTAAAGAATATTTTTTCAAGGACCATCCAAGGCGTGGATTTATTAAAGAATATTTTTTCAAGGACCATCCAAGGCGTGGATTTATTAAAGAATATTTTTTCAAGGACCATCCAAGGCGTGGATTTATTAAAGAATATTTTTTCAAGGACCATCCAAGGCGTGGATTTATTAAAGAATATTTTTTCAAGGACCATCCAAGGCGTGGATTTATTAAAGAATATTTTTTCAAGGACCATCCAAGGCGTGGATTTATTAAAGAATATTTTTTCAAGGACCATCCAAGGCGTGGATTTATTAAAGAATATTTTTTCAAGGACCATCCAAGGCGTGGATTTATTAAAGAATATTTTTTCAAGGACCATCCAAGGCGTGGATTTATTAAAGAATATTTTTTCAAGGACCATCCAAGGCGTGGATTTATTAAAGAATATTTTTTCAAGGACCATCCAAGGCGTGGATTTATTAAAGAATATTTTTTCAAGGACCATCCAAGGCGTGGATTTATTAAAGAATATTTTTTCAAGGACCATCCAAGGCGTGGATTTATTAAAGAATATTTTTTCAAGGACCATCCAAGGCGTGGATTTATTAAAGAATATTTTTTCAAGGACCATCCAAGGCGTGGATTTATTAAAGAATATTTTTTCAAGGACCATCCAAGGCGTGGATTTATTAAAGAATATTTTTTCAAGGACCATCCAAGGCGTGGATTTATTAAAGAATATTTTTTCAAGGACCATCCAAGGCGTGGATTTATTAAAGAATATTTTTTCAAGGACCATCCAAGGCGTGGATTTATTAAAGAATATTTTTTCAAGGACCATCCAAGGCGTGGATTTATTAAAGAATATTTTTTCAAGGACCATCCAAGGCGTGGATTTATTAAAGAATATTTTTTCAAGGACCATCCAAGGCGTGGATTTATTAAAGAATATTTTTTCAAGGACCATCCAAGGCGTGGATTTATTAAAGAATATTTTTTCAAGGACCATCCAAGGCGTGGATTTATTAAAGAATATTTTTTCAAGGACCATCCAAGGCGTGGATTTATTAAAGAATATTTTTTCAAGGACCATCCAAGGCGTGGATTTATTAAAGAATATTTTTTCAAGGACCATCCAAGGCGTGGATTTATTAAAGAATATTTTTTCAAGGACCATCCAAGGCGTGGATTTATTAAAGAATATTTTTTCAAGGACCATCCAAGGCGTGGATTTATTAAAGAATATTTTTTCAAGGACCATCCAAGGCGTGGATTTATTAAAGAATATTTTTTCAAGGACCATCCAAGGCGTGGATTTATTAAAGAATATTTTTTCAAGGACCATCCAAGGCGTGGATTTATTAAAGAATATTTTTTCAAGGACCATCCAAGGCGTGGATTTATTAAAGAATATTTTTTCAAGGACCATCCAAGGCGTGGATTTATTAAAGAATATTTTTTCAAGGACCATCCAAGGCGTGGATTTATTAAAGAATATTTTTTCAAGGACCATCCAAGGCGTGGATTTATTAAAGAATATTTTTTCAAGGACCATCCAAGGCGTGGATTTATTAAAGAATATTTTTTCAAGGACCATCCAAGGCGTGGATTTATTAAAGAATATTTTTTCAAGGACCATCCAAGGCGTGGATTTATTAAAGAATATTTTTTCAAGGACCATCCAAGGCGTGGATTTATTAAAGAATATTTTTTCAAGGACCATCCAAGGCGTGGATTTATTAAAGAATATTTTTTCAAGGACCATCCAAGGCGTGGATTTATTAAAGAATATTTTTTCAAGGACCATCCAAGGCGTGGATTTATTAAAGAATATTTTTTCAAGGACCATCCAAGGCGTGGATTTATTAAAGAATATTTTTTCAAGGACCATCCAAGGCGTGGATTTATTAAAGAATATTTTTTCAAGGACCATCCAAGGCGTGGATTTATTAAAGAATATTTTTTCAAGGACCATCCAAGGCGTGGATTTATTAAAGAATATTTTTTCAAGGATATGTTTTCAAGGACCATCCAAGGCGTGGATTTATTAAAGAATATTTTTTCAAGGATATGTTTTCAAGGACCATCCAAGGCGTGGATTTATTAAAGAATATTTTTTCAAGGATATGTTTTCAAGGACCATCCAAGGCGTGGATTTATTAAAGAATATTTTTTCAAGGACCATCCAAGGCGTGGATTTATTAAAGAATATTTTTTAAGGACCATCCAAGGCGTGGATTTATTAAAGAATATTTTTTCAAGGACCATCCAAGGCGTGGATTTATTAAAGAATATTTTTTCAAGGACCATCCAAGGCGTGGATTTATTAAAGAATATTTTTTCAAGGTCTATCAAAGGCGTGGATTTATTAAAGAATATGTTTTCAAGGTCTATCAAAGGCGTGGATTTATTAAAGAATATGTTTTCAAGGTCTATCAAAGGCGTGGATTTATTAAAGAATATTTTTTCAAGGTCTATCAAAGGCGCTTATTTATTAAAGAATATTTTTTCAAGGTCTATCAAAGGCGCGTATTTATTAAATAATATTTTTTCAAGGTCTATCAAAGGCGCGTATTTATTAAAGAATATTTTTTCAAGGTCTATCAAAGGCGCGTATTTATTAAAGAATATTTTTTTAAATAATAATATTCAAGGTCTATAATAATATTCAAGATCTATCAAGGGCGTGGATTTATTAAAGAATATTCAAGCTATATCTAAGGCGTGGATTTATTCAAGAATATTTCTTCAAGGTCTATCAAAGGCGTGGATTTATTAAAGAATATTTTTTCAAGGTCTATCAAAGGCGTGGATTTATTCAAGAATATTTCTTCAAGGTCTATCAAAGGCGTGGATTTATTAAAGAATATTTTTTCAAGGTCTATCAAAGGCGTGAATTTATTAAAGAATATTTTTTTCAAGGTCTATCAAAGGCGTGGATTTATTAAAAAATATTTTTTCAAAGTCTATCAAAGGCGTGGATTTATTAAAGAATATTTTTTTAAATAATTTTCTTTAGAGACAAGCAAAGTTTTCCAGAAATTTCGGTCATCAACAACAATCCTATTTAGTTTTCATTAATAATGAAAATATTTTCCAAGTTTTATAATGAAAAGTGAAAGTGAATACATAATCGAAGAATGACTTGCGAAAATGGTTAAGCTTTGTTTTCAGTTTTTTCTATATTCAATACCCAAACGGCGACATTGGCATTGAAATCATGATTGTCCCCAGCTATAAAAGAAGATGTGAAGACAGACATCATTGGCAGTCATTCCAAGTCTAGCCTAAAGAAAATGTGAAAATACTGAAAGAGTAAAGAAAGTACAACAAAAATGTTTTTGGAAACAAATCGAATTTTCCGATTGGTAAGTTTTATGTTTAAAAAATTAAAAAAATCTTAACCTAAAATTTTCTCATTTACAGATTTCATTATTCTCATTGTTGTTGTGTGTATGCCTTGGCCAAAATAATAACCTTAGCGCTAGTCCCGAAGGTGATGGTGGTGGTGGTGGAAATAAAGTACGTCGCAGCATACTTGATCCGTTTGCTGGCCCACCACCGTTTGCTCCATTCGGTGCTGGCATACCGCCATTTGGTTTTGGTTTCCCACCCTATCCATTGCCATTTCCACCACCTTTTCCGCCACCACCATTTCCTCCACCATTTGGTGGCTTCCCTTCGCCGTTAGCGCCACCATTACCGCTGCCACCACCACCCGTTTTGCCAGCACCATTTCCCGCTCCATTTCCGTTACCCTTTTATCCTCCAGGGCCACCGTTTGGTTTTGGTTATCCTTTTGCGCCGCCATTTGCAGCTGCACCACCACCACCGGTAGCCCCTCCGCCACCTCCGCCGCCACCACCACCTCTTCCCGCACCAGCACCGATAATATTGCCAGCACATACAGCGGCAACATTAAGTGTTGCCTCATTACTGCACGCCTTAATTGCCAAGAAATTCTATCCACCTGTTGTACCGTTTCCAGTTCCAAGGCCAATACCATTTCCCGTCACAGTTAAGGTAATGTGGAGTTTTTTGTTTGTTTGGAAATATTGAAATATTACTTAAAAAAAATTGTCTATAAGTTCGGCTGGGTCGACATTTTTGTAGTATTCACCATGAGGTGGTCATTCAGAATATTTTGGAGATATGTAGTCGTAAATTGCTGAAAGGAGCAAATACCAAATCAGGGACAATTAGGTTGGAAAATTGGACATGAACATAAAATTTTCGCGTGACATTTTAATAAGGAACTGTTTAAAAACATGGAAATGTCAAGAAGTTGTTTGCCATAAATCATGTTCGCAATGGTAAATTTCATCACTTCAGTTGAAAAATAGGCATTAATTAATTAATTTTCTGAATAATATTTTTTCAATAGCCATTACGACCGCATATTTTTTAAAGATTTTTTTTGGAGGACCATTGCAGTCATGGACCTTCTAAACAATATTTTTTCAAGGCTTGAATTTTTTGAAGAACAATTTTTAAGGACCATTCTATGCTTTGATTTGTTAAAGAATATTTTTTTCGATTGCCATTACCGGCGAGGCTTTTCAAAAGAATATTTATTCAAGGTCCTACAGCATGTGGTTGATCTTCAAAATACCATAAAGGGCGGGATCTTAATAATATGGATTATATCCTAGGAATATTAGCAATGTATGTGCCTAATTTCAAAGCTCTATCTTAAATATTGCTACCTCTATCGTGATTTCAACAGACAGATAGATAGACGGACATGGCTAAACCGACATATAACTTTATTCCGATTTAGAAAGTACCTCATGGGGTCTCCGGTGAATATTTCTAGGTGATTGCAAACGGAATGACAACAAAAAATTAAATTTATTACTCTGTTTCATGTTACAGGTCCCAGTACCAGTTCCCGTACCTGTCGATCGTCCCGAACACATTACAATTCTCAAACCGTCTAATCAATATGACGATGAGCATATTTTGCATGAAGACAAATATCATGAAATGGAAAATGAATGGAATTCAGCACCACCGGAAATAATAAGGCATTCAGAATAGGTGATGGTGCAGGATCACGAAATTTCGTCAATTATTTTTTAATAATTAGTTTTAATATTTATTATTTTACTTATATTATTATGATGGAATAAATTGTTGGATTTTTATACTAATCTTAGGTTGTTGGAATTTGGAAATGTGTATAGGAAAACCTCAGGAAGGTCGACCAACTATAGAATATTTATAGATGTTAGCCAACCATTAGGATACCTCAGGAAGGTCGACCAACTATAGAATATTTATAGATGTTAGCCAACCATTAGGATACCTCCACTTATAAGAGAACTATAAAGGTTTTTTTATAGGCAAGTCCTATAAATTCAATGTACTGATCCGTCATGACATTGTTCTATATATGTTGCTTACTATTGGAGTAGTATTGCTTAGGTCATCAAATGGACCCAAGACGTTTGCCAGCGTTTATACGATAGAAATTGTGGTAGGTAGATAGATAGAAGCGACCCGAGTGCTACACGGCCAACGTTTGTCACCTCAGTCCATTGCGTAAAAGCAATAGGGCTGCTACAACTACAAGATGTTAAAAAATTCCCTACGTTCCTTAAAAATCAATCAATTTTTCTTTCAGAATATTCCGGCCCCGTCCAATTATAACCTTTTCTGTCTGATTTTGTTTTTTGAAGACTTTCTACCTGAAAAAGTTGTCAGAAAGTCGTTGCATATAGGAGACCTCCTTACGAGATTCATGTAATATCGAACAAAGATTTTCTCGATAAAAAATACATACCGTCGATAATATATTTATAGAAAAGTAACAAAGTTATTAGGCTCGTCCTAGCACAACTTTTCAAAACCATCATTAAGTGGTGTGCTTTCAAAATTTCTTAGAAAGGTCGGGAACTTTATGTGGCGACTAGGACATTGTATATTGTCTGATAGTAGACTATATATTTGGGAAAATTAAAAACCAAATGACGGACACTCAAGTTGAGGATACCTCTAGGCCGAAAAATGGCCAATCTTGAAATTGGGGTAGGGTAATTTTTCTATACTAAATACAAATAGGTGCCTACCCTATAAAGTGGACCATTATATGCTATTTTCAATACGAAACATCCCAGGAGTCATGTGTCAAATTTGAAAGCCCTATATTTAATATTACGTAAATATTACTAAGGTAATTACTTCGAGTTGTTGCAAACGGAATGACTATTGTAATATACACTCTACCATTCCACAAGGTAGAGTCAGACCTTGTATGTACTTATGGAAGATAATTGACCCTATGTGGAAGGGGTACCAGAAGGAGAGGGCCACCTTCGGACTTGACTTAGGCTTCGTAAAGATTCCGGACATCCCTTCCGCCTGATATTTGATTTATAATTATTGAACAGTTTAACCATGTGGGGAGGTACCCAAAGGAGTGAACCAAAGTGTCAGATTTTCGGACATAATCTAGTCTTCTTTAAAGTAATGGGTTGTGCAAAGTTTGGTTCAAATCAGATAGTACATTCGCATGATATTATAAAATTAAATTTCAGCAAAATGTTGACCATTTTGTGGGGGAGGTACCAGAAGGAGTGGACCGATATTTCCCATCTTCGAACATGAACTATGTTAAAACGATTACTTGCTTCGAGAGTTATTGTGCGCACCAGACCCGACAGAAACGGATTGGTCTTAAGAAACACGTTAACCCTTAGAGGATTCCGAAGTGATATTGATCAAAACGGTTCTTTAAGTCGCTTCAAATTAAATTTACATATTTATTAAATATTGGACCATTGTGGGGGAGGTACCAGATAGAGAGGACCGATGGGTCCCACTTTCGGACTTGGTAAATATAATAGGTTTTGCAAAGTTTGGTTCAAATCGGAATTCTATTCGCCAAAAATTGGATAGGATATTAAAAATTCGGACCATTTGTGGGGGAGATACCTGAAGGAGTGCACCAATGAATCCCATCTTCCGACTTGATCTAGGATTTTTAAAGAAAAAAGATTGTGCATTTTGTTCCAATCGGATATTCCATTCGACTGATATTAAATTTACCAATGTTGAAAATTTTGACCAATTGTGAAGGAGGTACCAAAAGAAGTGGACGAATGGGTCTATATTCGAACTTAATCTAGGTTTGGTAAAGATAATAGGTTGTGCAAAGTTTGGTTCAAAACGGATAGCCCTTTTGCGTGATTATTTTTTGGACGGATTTGGTCCAAATTTTTGTCGTATCAAAATGTGGATTAAAAAATAAAAATAATGAATAAATAAGGTATTTTTGTTAATAGAAAACATAAAAGACTAAAACCGGATACTCTGTTGAATTATAAAATTAATTTTCAGCAAAATTTTGGCGAACTTAATTTCCATCCTTCGTAGAAGAGGTTCTAAAAAATTACTATCTTCTTCAAACATTGGTTAAAATATCGCATAACTTTTCGCCTCTCTTGTGGGGGAGGTACCAGAAAATATGACTCGTTATTCCACATCTTCGAACTTGATCTAGATCTGGAAAAAATATTTCGATGTAGAATGTTTGCATGGAATCTATTATTCCCTTCAAGAGTTCTCGTGCTCACCAGTCAGCCCGACAAACACACGGACATTTGTAAATCGACTCCAAATTGTCTGAAACAGATTTCGTTCAAAGAACATTTCTATCGAATCAAATTGAGCAAAAGTTGTTTTGATTTAACTGCCTTTTACATAGTTGTATTTGAATTTAGCTGGCCACAATACAATTTAAGATAACACCTCAAAATATTGGTACTTTTTTCCCTCTCATTTCACTTTAAATGTTTGCGTTTAGCTGCATAGAGAATATCAAATTTAAAAATAGTAGTGTTTACAACCCATTGCAAACAATACACAAGGTTTTTCATTCTCGGGGTCAAAAATGTTTTTGATTTAATTCGATTCTACACTAATTCAAGAATGTCCCTACAAAATTTCAAGTGAAAATCTCAAGAACTCTTGAAAATATAGCCGATTTATTGTGTCAGCATCAAGTGACGGCTAAAGGGGTTCTCAAACATTAAAACTCTTTTGCGAATGGCGGGCACGATAACTCAAAAACTAATAATCCAATCGATTCCAAATTTTTACACGTTTCTCTGTGAGTGTATAGCTATCGTATGAACTAGGATAAAGCCAATCGGTGAAGATCTTCCTTATTTTTTAACTTGGTTTTTGGTCAAAAATCGGCGATTTTCCAAAAATTTTGTTAATTTTAGAGCGAAGTCAATAATCCTAGTTCATACGAGAGCCAGACATGTATTCTTTCTAACGCCGTTGGAATTTTCGGATTCCGATGTTGCAGTGAGGAGTTATCATGCCCGCCATCAAAAATAAGGACTTTTCTTTAATTACAAAAAACAATAACAAAAATTTTTTTGTAAATTATTTTTCTTCTCTTTTAAATCTTCAAATATATATGTGCAAAGTTACAAACCTTAACAAGCATTGGTATTGATTTACCAGCCCATTGAAAATCTTGAAAAATTAAAATCGAGAATGGGTGGGGTTCCCTTAATGCAATAAATATATGTTAAAAACACAAAAGTCCTTTTGGTTCTTAGCGTTGATTGCGGATTCCAGAAAATTTAACATTGTCCAATTTTTATGCAGTGATTTCAATTACATGCACATTGGCACAGGTAAGTTGTTTAACCCTACGGTCAATAACCGGGTACATTTGTACCTTTTTCTGAATAAAAATGATGTACATTTTTACTAATGGAGATATTTGGATCAAATGTTGATGAATCATTCTTGAGCTATTTTCACACATAATGGAAGAAAAAAAAAACCAGTGAGCGGAGCAGTATAGTCGGACGGGGCCGACTATACGATACCCTACACAACTCCCATGAAAATCTAACTTTCTGTGGTTCTATATTCTGAGATTGGGCAATATTTCGCGATCTTTGCACACTTATGACTGTCTAGAGATCAGCAAATGTTACTAATAATCAGTACAGCCCCTCTAATTACTTGTCCAGATTCGCTTCACCTTGGGTTGTGTTCTGATGTTCGGCTTTCGACTCGAAAAGTACAAATAATTAAATTTTCGGTCCACTTCATCTGAAAAGTTATTATTTGATCATCACCTAACATTTTAGGCGTTGTCCTTGACCATAACTGGAACCTCATGGATTATTTCAAAGCGATCAGCGGTATATTTCCGCCCTCCAGTGGATACGTAAGCTCCTGTAAATATTTAACTCCCGCATCGGAGTACCTACGACAACATAATTGATATCAATTTAAAGGTTAACCACTCCCCTTTCATATACTATCAACTTCTCGGGTCTATGTCCTTCAGTGGTAAATATATACGCTATAGAATACAAATTTTATAATTTTTCACACAAAAGTTAGGGTCCATTTTACCCGCTAAATATTGACCGATCTTTATCAAAACAGGCATGCTTATTCTTTGGCCCGATCCCATTCTCCATGCAAAAATTCGCGGTGTTTGGGCCATAATTGCGGCGCCTGGAGCGACCAGAAAATCAGACAAAAATAAAGTTTTTGGTCCATTTCATCCCCTAAATATTAACCGATCTTTTCCAAAATCAATAGGGGTCTTCATTGGCCAGAACCCATCCTACATGCAAAATTTCGTGAAGATTGGTCCATAACTGTGGCATGTATCCTGTTTACAAATTATAATGGACAGACGGACGGACGGACACACATGTCTAGATCGACTCAGCTAGTCGAGATATGACGATCGGTATACTTAAAGGTGGGTCTAGGACCAATATTTCGCGGCGTTACAAACTTTTGGGGCTGCACAAAGCTATAATACCCTGACAACATAGTTGTGTAGGGTATAATTATAAATATTTTCCATATATAATTTTTACAATTTTTTAAAGTTATTACCTACGTAGATCAATAACCGTGGTACATTTGTACCCAAGGAAAAACAGGGAGATTCTGACTTCCACTAGTCGCCCTGACGGCCCCATGTTGTCTAGGGCCACAAAAATTTGCAGAGGGTTTGAGGAACACCTAAATAATATCCCAATAAAAAA